TATATATATACATCAACTTCAAAGGAATTTGCTTTATAAAATCACCAAAGCATTTCAGCCAAATATTGACTTGTCGGATGAATGTAAGATCACGTGGTCTCTAGTTAATGACTCATAGAATGTGATGAATTGATTGTGACCAATGGAACTTGACGAAGAATAGTTTTGATTAATCATAGAGGGGTGAAAAATAATCATACCGACATGAAAAAAAATATCACTATTTTCTGGACAATATTTGTCATTGAGAATTGCAAATGGGTCAACATGTTTCCCTTTTGCTTCCTCAATTTTTCTCAAGGAAAATCTCAAGTGTTGAAGGAAATTGGATCAACTGTTTTGTCAAAATATTATTAACTAAATCCTCTTTGAGTAATTAAGATATATATAAATCATATTTACTTTCACTTCTCATTCACAAAATTGATTCTTTCTTCCTCTTTATTGCTGAAGAAAATGCAAATTAGGAGACTCTAGCTGTAATCAATTACTGATGCAATGATAGATTGGATATGCAAACAAGGCAAGCAAATTGCTTGCCTAATTAATCAATAAATTTTTGTTCACTTCACATACAACTCAAAATCTAAAATAGCTATCCAACTTTTGAAATTGTTTTTGTTTCTTGACATGATCATGGATAGGCAAATTTAATGACCGTGAGTGAATTGTTAAATATAATTAAGGGGCCAGAAATTAATTATAAGGGATCCTTAGTTTGGGATAATACATATTGAAAGTATAACTAGTGGAAGACTTGAATAATTAATATTCCTTAACAATAAAAAGGACTTCTAAAGGAGTTCATAGGAGAAATGATTGGGGGTGGTTAAATCTTTCCTTATAAGAAACACAATATTCTCAAGGAACTTGACCACACTTTAAAAAGAAGATTTAATTTCCCCTTAATCAAACCCACAAAACAAGACTTAAAGTAGAGAGCAATTCCTTTTTCTAATTGAGTAGACGCTAGCAACAAGTATAGGATCCTAATTACAAAAAATAATAATGATAATAATAAAGAAAAGTGGAAACATTTTGAATCTTTTCCAACGACTTGGAGCAAAAGGGAAGCTCGGATAAGTGCCCTACAAATCCAGAGAGACTAGTGATTGAAAGAAATTTGTAGATTTTGACAAGAACCCATTAACATTTTTTTTTGCTTTTCCCTCATTCCATATGAATTTTTTTCCTTGGTTTCACTTTCTTTGCATTCCACAATTTTATTCTCTTTCAAATAAAGGTAGAAATGATTAATATGGGATGGGAGGGCGGGACTGGTCCCACAAACCTTAAGACATACTCAATCCAATCACAATGGAATATGGTTCTCCTTTTTGGGAGGTCAAGGTAAAAAAGGATGTAGGCTCCCACCTAACAGGAGCACTTTGCCCCACTCTCATACACTAATTCAAGCCTTTTTCTTTCATTTCGTTCATACCCTATTACTATTAGCTAGTACCAGTATTAAATACTTTTCTTTCTTTTTCTTCTTTTTTTTCCCCTATACTAGTACTATAATTATATATTTGAAATCCCTTTTTTAAGATTAATATAAATTGAAATTCATAAATTTGATTTATTCTTTTTTTACCATAAAATAGAAAAAAAAATAAAAACATTGGTATAAAGTAGTATAATCTTAAGTGAGATAAGTTTAGGCGTATAGAAAATAAGAAAAAAAATTCTAATGTACATCAAGGGATGTAAATTCCTCATTAAATATATGGTCATAAATTATGGTACAAAAATTGGTAAACCAGCCTGCCTTAATTAATCAACTTGGAGGGAGGTGTAGTATCTTATTTAGTCTCGGATTATCATATAATCTCGAGTCAACTCAAATTGGGCTTTAGGTTTAGCTCATTTGATTTTGGATTTAAGTTTTGGATTGCTTTGAACTTTAAACTCAAAATATTTGTAATTATCTGTCTTACTTTATTTCAAGAGATAAATCATTATGATTGATTTTTAATTGAAATTGAAAGATAAATTTATTGAGTTTAAAATTGAAATTAAGAGAGATAAAGGACGAAAATCTCATTCAATTGGATAACATTTTGATCTTAAATTTTATGGAGACTTGAGGCTTATTTAAGCAACAAGGATTACACTACAAAGGAGGAGGCAAAAAATGAAGCATTCACAATCAACCTTTAGCAATGCAATCCAAAGCCACAATCCTACAAACAATTTCACAATTACCCAACTATCCAAAGTCACAATTCTGAAAACAATATCACCATCACCCAGCTCGCCTTCAACCATCGTCCAATCCACTCCAGAACACATCCAATCACCTTTTTCACTGCCAATTCCCTACTGTTGTCCATACCACCAGCAACCACCCAAAAGTTCAACACCAATTCTACTGCAAGAATCTGTGCCCTAATTGAAACCATTATTTTCAGAAACATACCTTCCCCAATGATCAACATAGACATCATACATAGTACCCAAGAAACCACAAACCTGCAGACAGAATCAGTAACAACCCACAATTCACTATTAACACAGAAACCCCAACAGCAATCCTACCAAACCGCACAAACAGTTGAGTAATCCTCGAGCCAAAACTACACCATGATCATCATTGCCTATAAACACAAAAATTATGGCTAGAATTGAAACTCAGGAATCTCAAATCCAACCCTTAACCACACAAAGTTGATAATCCGCAATCGAAAAAAAAGAAATTTAAGTTAATATCTAACGATAAATTTACAGATCTAGACGTTATGATAAAAGGGTCCAAATTATCCAATAGGCACTGGTATCCCCTATCCCACAATTGCCATCTCAGTTTTACTTATAGTTATCAGAACTAAACCAGACATTAAACCATTCAAAGTTTTGAATCATTGGATTAATGGTTCAACCACCGAATCAATGGGTCAATTGTCGGTTTAATTAAAAATATTTTAAAAATTCAAAATTTAAACTTTTAAGTAAAGTTATAGTTTAATAATTCAACTATAAAACTATAAATTTTAAGATACACCATAAACTACAAGTTTTAAAATATAAAATTCATAAAATAATTAATTACTAGTTAAAAATGAAATTACTTAACATTTTATTAAAATCATATTTTATATTTTTATTGTTAGAAATAATATTTATATTTTAATAAATATAATAAATAATTATTATTTATATTTATTAAATATAAATATTATTTATTAATATATAATAATTAATCTTTATGTAATAAAAAAGAAATATCTATATATAAAATTAATAAAAAATATTTTATATTTATATGAAAATTAGTAAAAAGGGAATTAAAATCATTTTATATTTTTTTATATGAATGTAGATTTTTCTATTAATTTTACATATATACATTTTTTATTAATTATTTTTTATCATGGTCAAATAATTAATCATTTTTATTAATATTTTATTTTTTATTAATTTTATAATTATTTTTAATTATAGTATCAAGTAATAAAATATTTGGTTAGATCTTTTTTTTTTAATTGCTTTTTTTTATACATGTATAAATTTTTTTACAATATCATTATCCACATATCTCAAAATATGCCAACATATTATTAATATAAGGATATAAGGGCTTTGATAGTAAAAAATAAAAATTTGAGAGCTTATTTAGATGAAATAGTAGTATAATGATTTAATTAGATTATTTTGAATACTTGAAGGTTTTTTTCATATTTTATCTATATTTATTAGTTAGTATTGAACTAATTCGGTTAAAAAAAAATCACTCGATTTACTGATTATTATATAAACCATCGATTCATAATGATTTAAAATGAATTAATTGTAAAATTGATCTAATTACAAAATCAAACCAATTTCAATATTAATTTATCAGTTCATCCGATCGGATCGACAGTCCAATCCGATTTTGCTAACTATGGTCTCACCATAGTAATTTTGCTTGCTCAAATAATGTAAACTCAAAAACCCATATAAAGAATTCAGGTGTTTTCCTCTAGAATTGGTGATATGAATTTTAAAGGTTTTTTTCTTTCCCTTTTGATAAACAATCCTGGCAATAGCAATGTTGCTTAGGGAGGGGGTGTTTTAATTTGGTTGTTGTCATTAAGAACGGGGTTGCTAGTTTATAACAATGTGGGGTTCATTTGAAATTTCTTGCTTTCAAAATCTTCCCAACTGCTATAAGAGCTAAATCAGTAAGTCTGGCATTGGGCTCTAAATTCCGAGGCCTAACTCTGATCGTTGGCAAGTGGGTTGAAAAGGGTTTGTATGACCCTGTTTTGAACATAAATTTGGAGCAGTGCTACCAGGGCCCATTATTTGTGAATTCATCTATGAGGCTAATAATATGCGAGAGAAAGAAATGTAAAGGTGATTTGTGGTTGTGTTCCAAGATTGGTGGAGAATATTTTAGTTCAGAGATATCACTATCTTGGGATGTACTTGTAGTTGAATAAAGACAATCATCTAACGAGGATTTAGAAAAATTTGTCCTAAAGATTCCACACCCGATACCAAAAATGAAATTCACATGATTGATGATAAACTTGTGAAAATGCTTTTTTACTCGATTCTTAAATTTTCTTCATTTTTCTCCCTTTTCTTTCTTTGGGTACAATTCTCTTCATCTTCTTGTGAAAAAAAAAAAAAAAAAAGCTTTTAGGCAGTAGCAAAAATAGGAGTTAACTCATGGGTAGTATGATATCCTAACATTTGGCAGGAAGCCAAAAATAAAAAAAGTTGGCAGAAGAACGAAATATCAAGTAGCAGTTTTCATGCTTCTTCATCCAAATTCAACTTGTGGCTGAAATTAGAGATCCAAAATTATTAAAACCGGATGATTAACTGTCTCTTTAAATTTCCTAAAGCTTAAACTATTTATAAATTTTTTTAACTAATTGTTCTCTATCGCGAGACATTAATCATGTTCGTAGGTATAAATAAGGAAATACTAGTACTAACCACTCTATTTGGGTGCATAGAAGATCGAATCGAACTAGCCTACTAGAGACAAAATCCCAGCTTATCTTTCAAATCTTTGAATTCACGATCAAACAACACGTTAATTAAATTTCAAATACCAGGCACATTGACACGACAAAAATCTATATTGACATGTATAAAAAGGAAAGTTCACTTTTTGACATTTAGAAACATAGGAAAGAAAGAGTAGAAATCTCAACGTCATGAACGAATGGAACAAACAATGTCCTATCTACTACTGGATAGAATTAGGAAGTATGTGGCAACCATGGCATTGTCGCAACTTGCTGGGGATGGACTAGTTGTAGAAACAGGTCAGTAAGTGGTCCATCTTCCCACAGAGTACCCTAGTACTTGCCACAATTGCTTCGATACGGATGCAACAGAAACGGTCCATTCCACGACCCCAGGTGAAGTAACAATACCCTCCTCCATGGCCCCTTTGCTCCCCACAAGTTTCAAAACAACAACAGCCGAAAACGCCGTTGGTGGCTTATGCCCCCAACCTCAATACTAAAATTGCAGGCCCAAATTACATTGCAAGTTGCAGCACCCCACAATCCTATAATCCAAAACGATATCGTTCCCAAGCAACATCTACGAAATGTCCGACATCAAGCAGTTTCAGGGGCAAGGACTTTAACTCGCAACCAATGAATAGGCATTTCATCCGAATTTGTTTAGTAAATAAGTCTGATATCATTAGAGAAGATGGAATTAATTGGAGACTAACGAAAAAATTTGAGAGAAAAGAAGGGCCTTTCTCTGCATTTTATTTAACTAGTATTACATTGCTATAAAAAGAATAACGAACCTAGCAGGGAAGCAGAAGACTATTAAATTTGAGGAGCCTGCGGTAATGCCCCCTTTCCTCTCTAAGAATTAATTTTGACTAACAGAAACAAATTTACAAATGTTACTAACCCAAGTTCTACTTTTCAGCTTTTGCAGGAAGGTTCTCCTGCCAAAGACGGTAGAACACCCCGGCTTGAGAACCACAAGAATCACTGCACGTGCAATTTGCCCCATTTTTGGAGGCCTGCACAAAGAATAAAAATTGTCCTAAGCTTGGTTAATATTAGCTGCTACTCCCCCAATCAATGATTTGGAATTTCAGTGTTGTTAGAACTCCATTAGAGGGAATGAAGTTAGCAAAGTCAGGCTCCAGATGATTCTACAGAGGCAACCCAACCGGATTTCTCATCAGTTTGGAAAATCTGTAACTTCAATCCAATCTGCTTTCTGAATATGTCGGCCCTCTGATTTTAAGGCGCTTTGGCTCAATCTCTATCGGAGGAGGTTCCCTCATGCTCTTTCCTAACTCGTGCTGGAACCTATCATTTCCTTGGTGCTCTTGCTGCCTACTCATTGCTTCATCATTGGCCAACTTCTTGTACTTGATAGAAATGGGAAGGGTCCCTCTTCCAATTCCGTCCTTCACAAAATTTCCTGCAGCTTCTTTACAGTCAGAAGAGGAATTAATATTGCGACTTGGTTCATCATTTCTGTAGCCTTCAGATGTCATTGGTTGCCCACATCTTCCTTCATGTTGGAGTTTCTTTAATCGTTTGAGCCCCTGTTCGAATGAACGAGAGCACATGGAAAAAACAAAATGAGTCCCACCAACGAAGTGAAAGGCATTAATGATTGCAAAACACAAAATGATAGGGTAATAGTGAAATTGAAGCAAATCGCTACAATGGTCGAAACATCATTAACAGCTGTAACCAATTCTAGCATCATAGTTTGTTGAATTTCAATGGGCAAATTACTTGCCAATGATAAGTCAAAAGTTATTGCTGTGAAGTGGCTTATTATAGTCAAATAACTTTAAAACTAGCACTAAGAAATCAGATTAACTTTCAACTTTTGACTAAAAAAAATAGTTTTTAATTTTAGTAATTTTTTGAAAAAGCACCACTAAAGGTTAAGTTTGCAAATTTATAACAAACATAGGAAATTAACTTTGGAATGCCATAGCTATACCTGGTGTTCAGACTTCTTTGATGACATGGTGTCATTCCCATTTCTTTTCTCAACCTTCAATAAGGAAGGTCGCTTAACCCTAAATATCTCTGAATCAGAATTATCACTGTCTTGATCCACTACAGACCTACTCAGCGGTTCATGAACATTGCCCTGGTTGATACCGGCACGATCTTCATGTGACAAACAGGATACAGTCGATCCATATGTATTTTGTGAGACTTCTTCAGAGAACCCTTTACCATTAGTGTTTCCTGGGTTAACTAGCCCCTGTAATGTATAGAAATATACAAATACAAATGTTCACTTAGTGCAGGACCAGCAGCTCAAGTAGATACATAAACATTATAATAATTCAGGAGGCGGATTAACACATTGATACTCAACAGGCAGAAAGCTGGATCTTACATTTTTTGATGAGGATCCATCTTGCTCCACAAAAGAATAGAGAGTTGATGCAGCAAAAGAAGAGAAAGCATCTGTCAGTTCAGGTCGAAAATTACCAGTGTTACAGCTCATTGTAGGCTGCCGTTGTTCTAGTGGATGACCCATAGTTGTAGTTATTGCAGCAATCTCAGGATTCAAGACAACATTAACCTCACAGTATGGAAAGTATCCATCCTCTACATCAGTTTGGAACTTATTTGACAGTGGATATGAATACAAGTCATCACCATTTTCAGCTTGTCGCTCAATCTCTTCTGATATGGCATCTTCTTGCTCAAATTTCTTGGCAGCAGCTTCCATCTCTGCAATGTCATCCCTCAAGAAAAGACCATGATAGCTCCCACATGGGAAGTCAAGTGACTTAATATCTGCACAAGGTAATCAGGGTCATCATAAGACAAAATTACATATCAAAGGGAAATTACCAGAATAATGCAGGATGTGAGAAAGGTTACCATGTCGCAGGCAAACCGGATGCAAGTAACAGCTGCAGCTAATGAAAGCAACATAACAGTCTCGTTTGCATAAAGTGCAGATAATGGTTCCATAAGAATTTGGAGATACACTGGTGCATGCCCTTGATTTCATGACAGACCAACGCGCCCAGTGCAGAAAACGCATCAGCTTTACAAATGAAACCTTAATGCAATGATGAGAGGTCAAGTCTGCTGGTGAATAATCCAAGTCTTCCAATTCTAAACTAGTATAAAGAAGCATAGCTTCTTTGCACAGAAGTTCCTCATGAGGAAGAAGAGGCACCCTGTTAAGAAGTGCATAACGCAAGCTTGCTACAGCCCCCAAAGGAAACCAATCATCAATAGCAAAGTTCACAGCCTCACCGCAGTTGAAACCTGAATGATTACAATTAGAAACATATTCATGAATTCTGCAAGAGGGAGTAAAAACAACTTCAACAGAAATATGCCTTACCGTGACTGAATCCAGCATGATATGCTCTTGGAAAGGTAACTACAAACTCTCCAGGCTTCTGCACAGCCTTGTAGACAGGGACATCATGTTCCAACAAAATATTTGGAGGAAATAATGTTGTTTTACCCAAAAGCACATCAAAAGCTCCATCTTCACCACCCATTGATAGGATATCATTAGTGTACACATGTTCCTTGACAACCTTTTCAAAATTTAAAGCAGCATGACCAGGTGTGCCATACCAAGTTTTTGAAGCCCCACAGTGATGATAATTAATGCTGCCACAAAAGAAGAAAAGGATTATTAATTACAGATATAAAGAAAGCAAAAAACTGAAAAAGAATTCAATGTTTGGTAACATTTACCTATACAAATAATGATCCTCCACATGCCAAGCAAACATACTAAATAGCATTCCTATGTAAAGCATGGGGTCGGTTACTCCCTGAAACAAACAGCAGTTCAATAGAATAGAACCATACATGTGAGCAGATCATCTCTCTGCATGTATAAACTGCCAAAATTGATAAGGAAATTTTGATCATTTCATTACCGGAATTGCTGTTTCAAGAAGACGCAAAATGGACTTTGGCAGCCGTGAGAGTTTCTGAAATCAAATAAAAATAAGTTTGTAAAACCAATTGAATCTCAATCCAGAACAGGTGTAGAGCCAATCATAATAGGATTAGTACCAAATATTGGTTCCTCAATTCCATTATCTCTCTCTATCCAAGTCAACCTTGAAGTTATTAAAATTCAAAAGAATTGTCGAAATGCTACATCCTTACTTTATCTAAATAATATTGATAAATAATAAAATAAATAGTTACTTTCACAGGTACAACAAACCTTGACAACTTTGTGATTGAATAAAGAGTATCAACCCTGTTCGACCTCATGGAACCAGTTTGCAACAGGAAACATTTAAAAGATCACCAAAGCCCCTATTAATTAGACAGGAAAGGACATGATTTATTCCACTACCATAGTGACTGTTAAGTGGCCATTGTCTCTCTTTTAAGAATATATATTAAGGCATATGATCATTATAGCTGGATAGTTTCTCCTAGGATTAAGTTTTAAGACCACATATAAACTATAATTTATACCGGACAGTCAACTAAAAGACCAGTCTTACTAACAGGAGATAATCTGTTTGGCAAAGTTTTTTGGCAGGAAAACAGATCATAGTTCTTTGTTGTACAACAATGACTTCTCCTGAGGCATGAGTATAACTTGTAGTGCCAACCACCACTGGGGCTTTGATTTCATGCCAACACATGAACATCTAAACTTTTTACACTTTATGACGCAGAGAGTTGAAAAGGATCAAAAGATAGGCCAGAAGACCAGTCTCTCAACCATAAATCTACAACAAATACATGAATATACAATAAAATGACCCAAGAGCCAAGAATGGGATAATCAGCTGTGCAACACTAGCAATTTTACTTTTCTAAAATTTCACTATCATGATAAAATTAAGAAAACAGACCTCTACAAGAAATGATTTTAAAAAGATAAGAAATCTAGAGAGATGATAGTACTGAATTCAACACCTTTAAATTCCATTTGCTAGTTCCAAGCGGGTCACTGGGAGAAGAAGAAAAAGCACTACCCTCAACGTCACAAGCATATTCAACACTTTCTGTCTTCCCACAAGCAATTTCATGCCAAAATTCTTTTTCCAAGTATGTAGCAGGAAGACAACCAGCACTATAATATCTACGAGCAAAAACCTTGTTCGCCATTTTCTCGAAATCACGAAATGTATAATTTCTGAAAAGTCATGCTAACATTCAAAACCAGAAAAATACTGAAGACACAAAATAACATTTATTTCAAGTGAGAAAGCTCACTTTCCACTCATGAAAAACATGACTCTATCCTCAATATCCCACTCAGCAAGACGAAGAGGCTGTACTCTAGTTGTGAACTTGAATCCTACTTTCTCCTTCATCAATACAACTCCAGCCGGAACAGTAGCACTTAAAGGGGAAATAATCTTGCATATACCTGAGAATTAAGGGGCACATATTCAAAATGCTTCAGTATTTATTTAATTAAAAAAAAAGCAAGGCAATTTTTAGAAAATTTCCTTCAAAATCCAAACATGTATATCAGTTCTTCAGTTGGTTTTTTAATGTAATATCTTTAGATGGAATAAAAGTAATACTAGGTGCCATACAGCTGTTTGAAAAGACCAATTTCACTGTAGCAGTCTATCACAGATGATCAACATTTCTTCCAAAATACTGCTGAAATATATGAGCCTGATAATTAATTCAAAATAGATCAACTTATTCCCGTCTATAAATTTGTGTAACAAAATGTATTAGTGCAACTAATAGAAAAACCTTTCACTATAGAGTGTAGCAGTGAAGACAAGTGGCACCACAAAGATAAAACAGCACTCGGAGCTTTTCTATTTCTACTACAGATATTTAGTCTTCCCTTCATAAAATCATTCAGTCACTAGAAGAACAATATTTTAACAAAACTTCTATCAAACAAAAAGTTATAGGCACCAATGCCTCGTGAAAATGCATATGAAAGCATAAAACATAATATGAAACCGTTCTATTTCTCTATTTCTACTTTTCTTTTTGGTTATATTCTCCATTCCTTTAACCAGGGTTGGAGAGAGGGCGACAGGGGTTGGTGTTGGGGTTCGGAGATGGGAAGTATTAAAATTGTTATAGACAGAGGCTAAGAGCACAGAAGGTGTTACCATATCTTGAAGCTTCGGGAGCTATTTTCTGCAAATAAACCAAAGGATCTTCAAACTCTTCCTTTGTAGGGCAGTATACAGGGCATTCTGGAATTTTTTCAGTCCATTCTAGATCACTAGTGTCAAACTTATCAACCTTGCGCTTTGACAAAACGTCCTTCTCACTTGAAGCACCATTTGATCTAGAAAATGATTCAGTGTTCCCATGTAACCTCATTCCACATGATGCTGAAACTCTCAAAGCATCCCCTCCACTTCTAGCCATCATGTTTGTGACACTCGATGTCCCAGAGAGAGTTTCTGATTTTATTCGTTGAAGCCTTTTACGCTTCAACAACTCGAGCTCATTTTTTACCTCTTCGGATAAACGCACCCTTCCTTCACCCTAGCAAAAGAAGCAGAGAAACAAATTAAAAAAAAAAAAAATCATATACCGGTATATAGAAGCAAAGATAAAAGCAGACTTGAGAAAATATGTAATGATACTACAAAAGCAGCCACAACATTCCCCACATACAAAGTTAAATATTTCTACTTTTCAATTGTATCAGCACTTAATTGCCATCCAAGTGACCTCCAAACGAGTCCATGCAGCTACAATATTCATAACACATTAAACGCTCACAGCCAACACCATTAATTTACAAAGTTTTCACTAAGATAAAGCTATATTAGTTCAAACTCTGCGACAAATTAACTACAATAAGCTTGACCTATGGAAGGCATAGATTTCAACAGAGGTCTTAACAGAACAAAATTTGTCAACACTCGTGTTTTGTTTGCAACACTGCGAAAAATAAGTATAAAATAAAAAATATTAAAAAACCTATTCTAGTCAAAACAATAAAAGATATTACAAGTCAGGGTAATAAATCAGGTAACAAAATTATGATGCAAAGGCCCAATCCAGTTCATGCATATAAGAACAAACTACAGCACAATAAAAGTTAATGAGAAAGCATCTACACCCAGGCTTCAATCACCATCACTAGACTAGACTCTCGATCCAGTAATTAATCTAATAGGGGAAACAAGTTCGTTCTTAAATGATACAGTCAAAAGGATAAATTTGGAAACAAGCATAAACATTTATAGCCCAAAAACTGAGAATGTGAAACCAAAAGCCGACAACAATCTGAACAAGGATAATTTCTAAAGCATGCCTAAGACAGATGGTTGACTGAATCTAAATCAAATAAACACCCCCAAAACTTTCCATTAAATCGTGAGTCAAAAGGTTTACGACCAGTTGAATTCATTGTATACCATATGCCGTAAATATAAAGTCAAAATTTGAGTTAATTACAGAAACCCATGTTGAATCTCAAGTCAAAACCCAGACAATTTCAACAATAATACACGGTATTACCAGATCAACTTTTTAAAATAAAAATAGTAATAATAAAATAAAATTCAATAATAATTTTAATCTTATCCACAAAATTTAGAAACGTAGTCAAAACAAACTCGAACTCAAGAATGAAATTCAACTGACGTAAATTATTTCATTAATAGACAAAGGAAGCATCCATCTTCTCCACGAAAAGCCCTCGATAAAAATATGTGAAATAAGGTCTGTAAAATTTTGCATGTGATTCAATGAATGATTAAAAAAAAAAAGGGAAAAAAACCGTTAAGCAAAATCCGTCTGCTCCAAAATGCATTAAGTTTTCATTGATGAAAATTATTTTTTCTAGATTCAAAAATTAATTTCTATTTTTTTTTTCAAAAGACGTACAAGAAATCTAGGAAAAAGAAAAATTACGGAAAATTTAAGAAACAATTTCAGGATTAAAACAATGTTCAAGACCCGTACAACGACTGAGTAAATAAAATCGTAAGAAAGAGATTAAAGATAAAAAAAATTAAAGAAAAATAGAATGAACTCAACAGAAGAATTCATGTACCATCTCATTTCGGAATGGTTCTTTGCACGCCACCGTTTTGTCGCAATTCACCGAACGAAACAATCCAAAAAAAGAAAAAAAAGCTCAAAATCAGGAAACACCAAACCCTAGATCACGATCTTCACCATTTACTATCAAACCAAACCATCAAACGTCAACAAAACTCGCCACATTCTCACAACGCGCCACGCAGCCCACCGGACTGGGTCAAAACTCGGAGATCCAAATTCGAGTCAGGAAAGAAAGCTTAAAATATTACAGGAAATTATCAATACTAGATAGATTAGTCGTTACGAATAACCAGAGACTTTCTTCGCCGGGAAAAGAGATGTTTCCCGGCAGAGGAGGCGGTTTTCCGACGAAAGATAACAAAGAGAAACAGTAAATGAGAAATGGAGAGAGAGAGAAAGAGAAAGGAAAAGGGAAGGCTTAGAAAAGCGGAAAAGGACCAAAGGAGGGTAATTTATACGTTTTATACTCAAATATTAATGCTTTAGATGAGCTTTAATATTATTAAACGAAAATATAATTAAGAAACGTTAAATTAAAATATAAATAAAAGTAAAAAAAAAAAAAACATAGGAAAGGATTAAAGAGGAGTTGTGAACGAAAGCGGTGGTTGTTAGGTGGTTCAACCAAACGCTTTGCCGGCCAAAACGCGTTTTTTTTCCCTTCTCTTGCGTTTCGCTCGTTTTTAAGGAACCTTCCGTTTTTATCCCCTTTCCCCTCACTACCCTTGAACAAAATGTTAATTGACAAAAATTAAAAACTAAGTTGGTTTGAATTTTAGTGTTTCCTTCAGGGCCTTTTTGTCAATTCATATAGATTGCATTATCTAATACTTCTGGTCCCTGTTTCGGTCAGAGAAAAGAAAGAATTTGGAAGGATGAATTATCACGTGTACTTAAGCACAGCATCTAAATATGCATATTAATCAAATCCGGCCGTCTATTATACTTAATCACCGACGTTTAACGGTCAAAAAGTAACGTTCTCCGTGAATTCGTCGTCCTATCTGGCATGTATTTGTTGCTTCAAACGGCTGAGTTGTACAATAACTGCTTCACCTACCTTGTACTTAGTTAGGCTACCATAGACAAAAGGAGGGTATTTTCGACTTTCTCCAAGCATTCCTGCATGTGAGTACAAAGTAGCGTGAGATCTACACGTGGCCCAATCAAGGGGACAGGAAAGAGACGTGGCATGAGGAAGGAGCGGCGGGTTTAGGCGCTTTTTGCGTTACCGTAGGTGGTACCAGAACGGCAATCGCTGTCGGTTACAGCAGTTTGTCGCGCGTCCATATGGCCGGCCCAGGCGTTACGCTCTCACGATCAACTCTAAGCTCGTTTAAAAACTTAAAACAACAACAAAGCCACCGTCGTTTCCAGTTGACGGTCAATTTTCTCTCCCTGAACGCTATTGGTTAAATTTTTTACAACAGATATTTCGCTTTTTCGAGTTTTTTTTTTTTTCTCTATTTTAAAAGGTTACACGGAGGTTGGTCTAATGATTAGTTTCCACATTCAGCGAAAGCGAAAGTTTGGCGGCTCGGCTTCTACAAACATTCTCATGGTAGTCTCTAGCTCAACTTAGCCTATTTAGCCGGCTTGGATTGTTGTTATCTCGGTCTTAATTAAGCAAAATCGTGAGTATTTTTTTTTTACTTTGATTATTTTTATGTAAAATATTAAAATTTATATATTTATATGATATTTTATATAAAAATTATGTGTTATATTATTATTAAAAATTTAAATTATATTATTTTATATTTTATTATCATATTTATTTTAAATTAGTAAATTTATTTTTTAATTAAGTAAAATAGTTGAATATTTGATTTATAATTTAAGTTTTAATCTAATTATTATCCTATCTATCTTTTTTTTTTTTTACCGAAATAAACTTTTAACTAACAAATGCATCATTGTTAATTTTCTTTAACCCACTCAAAAGCAGCTTATCGAAGAGAATATTTTCAATTTTATTGGCTAATTTGAAATTAAAGATTTTCAAGAGCCTTTGGAAACAAATCTAACAACAAACCAAATAACTTTGCAGATATTTTACTCAAAATTAAAGAGAATCTGAAAACGTAAAAAGAAAATACTGTACTAAAAAAGATTCTATTAATTGTGTTCACACCACTTACCAAAGTCAATCTGTTTAATACTAATTTACTAAATCAAAAAAACAAAAGCATGATTTTCTTTTTTTTTTAAATGTTTTCTTTCGGTGGACAATGGCAGGAAAATGAATTTCTGCAAAAATACTTTGGCACGAACTGACAAAAGATCCCTTTTTTATTATTTCAAGTAACTGCCACAATAAAGTAGCCCTTTATCGTACGTTTTGCTCTATTTCTTTACTCGACAGTTGTCGCTGGAAGGGCATTGTTGTAAGTTCGTAAACTGGATAAGGTGTTCGTCAGTTGCTTTTGGTAGGAGGAGAGAGCATAGTTAAGATTACGGTTCTAGAAAGTTCTGGAATTGACGAAATTGCCTGCGTGAACAGTGGGGAATCACTTGATTGCCCAACGCCATTTTCAGTTTTTTTGGGAGAAGGGTTAAATGTATCCTCATTTTCCTTTTAAATTAGTGATTTCCAATTCAATTTTTTTGATTAATTCATTCATAACATTTATCTATTTGATAAATAGTTAATGCAACATATTTTGATAGGGTAATTCACATTTTTTTATAAAAATTTTAAGAATAAAATTTATTATTTTATTTTCAAAATCAAGAAAGTCGTTAACCTTTAAAAAAATTTATGAATTTTTTTACAAAATTTTTTAAATTTATAAATCATCTATCAATAAAAAATTACAAAAATTTAGACTTAAATATTATACATTCAAATTTTAAATTTTAATCACTTATATCAATTTTTATTTTTAAAGAAATTTTTTTTAATGGAATTTGGGCAAAAAAAAAAATGGTGAAATCGGCCACAGCCCACAAGGCATTGGGACCCATGGTTCGTTGGTTAAAGTTGGATGAGAGTGGCTCGTGGGTAGATACTTACCTCTGATAGATTTTATGATGTTCTCTTTTATTATCACCGTCAGTACCTCGCCAACAAAAGTGATTAACCCAAATTGGGCGGTTTTTCATTTTATATCCAAAAGTGTGCAGATTTCTAATGGTCCTAAATGGGGGTATGACACTATGACATTGATGTGAATTTTAGTCCAAGTGGTCAATGAGAAATAAGACAAGGGCTTAAGGTCTTCCGGTTGCATTTCGGTTACCTTAAATAAAATATAAATAACAGAATATAATACCCAAATTCTCCCCCCTCCCCCCCCCCCCCAAAAAAAAAGATTATTGAATTTATTAGTTTCTTCTAAAGTTTATAAAATATTATGATTGATGTAGACATATAAAATTCTATAATTTTTTTTTATTCAAGGCACATGAATGGTTGACCAAAGTTTTAGTGATTTTGATGCAAATTACTAAGTTAAAGGCATTTATTTATTAAAATTCAGCTTATAGGTCACAACTCTTTGTTTTAGTGACTAAAAAATTCTTACAAGGATATAGAGATCTTGATTTTCAGCCGAAGTTTCCTTTTCTTTTTTTATAAGTTATGTTCATTTTATGTAAAAAAAAATTCAGCTTATAAAAACCATGCGTTTTAATGGTAATTAATTGCGAGATCAGTGACTAAAACTTTTCTTGAAATGCAACCAAAGAAGAGCCATTTGTAGAATCAAACCTACATTTGCTCAATTGTTCTGTTTGTGTGTGTCACATTCCGAATGGCGGATTCCTTAAGGAATCTTATTTAAAGAATCAATTCACTTCCATTAAGCCCACAACAAAAACAATACACATTAATCTATTCAATCATGCAACCTTATCATATTATAACTACATCATCTTAGGTACTATTAAACCTGTCCATGGACCAAATAGCAACAATTATAGAAAATTTTTATTTTTCCAATTTAGCAACAACAATGGCAACAAAAACACTACTTAATTCAGGAATCCGGTTGATATTAGGTATCTTAAGGATAAAATTCCAACAGCCTAGCTTTACATGAATGAAGTAATTCTATAGAGTACAAAAAGTAAGCCCCCAATAACCCCCACCAACCATAATCATAAAATGGAAAGGCAAATTAAGTGAAGGAAAAGTTGGTGATTATCCAAATCATGCTACATCATTTTCGAATTAGTGGTGTCTTAATCAACTTAATTAAGCGCGTCATCGGTCGTGTCTCTAGGGTTGGGACAAGGTCGCATTGAGAGTGGTGGGGGAGACAAGGGTTCGAAAACCTTTAGCATGTAACAAGAAAACGAAAGATAAAGATGAAAATGAGAGGATGGACGACCTCAACTTGAAAAATGGCAGTCAGCTGGAATGTACTAGGGAAAAAAGACTTAGATAAGAAGGAAGATTTTGCTTCCAGTTAGGGGAAGGCAAATGAGCTGACTTGCATGGGTTTATCCCACAGGAACCTGATTTAAGCTCCAAGTTTATATTTTGTCAGGATTCTAGAAATAAATTGAATTTCTCCATGGAACTTTCTTATCATTCAAAAAAGGGGCATAAGCTAGCTTGGCAAAGATCAAATCAAGTGTGAATACAATTGCAAAAAGAATTAGGTTTCCCAAGCTGAATGACATGATTCAAAATTCAGAAAAAAAAAAAAAAAGGGTGGAGAAGGAAGGCAAGAAAGAAAGTAATGATAGTGTCTCAATGTAGTCTGTGAACATTATGACAAATTATCTGTTGTTCTCATCTTTTGATGAATAAGTTATAATTTAAACAGGGAGAGTGACTGATGATTTGGTCAAAGGCAGATGATGTTAAGCAAAAGAAGATGCTACAAACTAAGTATATTTTCGCCCACAATGTCTCGCTAAATTGTTGATAGAATGATGAATTTTTAGTTTTAATAATGAGGATTTAAATTTAGATAATTTTAAATAAAAAATTAAATATAATTTCACATAAAAAGGGTAAAGTAAGATGCAGAATCCTATCCATTATATTACAAATAAAATAAGCCCAAGAAAATTTAATGCTAGGATTATCCCTTCAAAAACGTCAATTGCTTAATAAAGGCTAAAATATTAAAAGTGTCCATACATTTTTTTTAGGTAAAAATTATCCATAAACTTTATCAATTTAGGTAAATTATATATTTATAGTGTACTCAAATAAATCTTTATTCTTTAATTTGTATTAAGTATGTCATTATTTAAACAAATGATTAATTTATGTAAAAAACTTATTTAGGTACAAGTCAAAGGATAAGGATTTATTAAGAATAAATTAAAATTTAAGGGCTTATTTAGATGCAAAGTAAAAGTAAAAGATGTATTTAGGCACAATAAAATTATATAAGCTTATCTAAATAAAGTTATTTTAGTCTTTAAGTAAACAATTTTTTTGAAATATTAACAAAACAATTAAAGCTTAATTAAAAGGAATATATATAAGCAAAGATCTACTTAAACCAGTGTAAGTATTGCATTATTTTTTGACCCTCTGATTAAAATTAAATCCATAATACTTATATTTAATCATTTTGATCAAAGGGTCAAAAAAGTGTAATACTTATATTAGTGTAAGTGGGTTCTTATTATATACATTTGATGTATTATCGTATATAGATTTTATATATTGTCAATGAATCGGATGATAACATCTTATTAATAAAATAAATCAAATGATGTCACTTTATTAATAATTAAATTTTTTTAAAATTTATTTTAAGGACTGATATTTGTCCATTAATAAATTGATATTTTTTTATTCACTATCAATTAATATAATAAATTTTATATATTATCAGTGCATCAAATATAATATAATATAATATATATAAGTTTACATCATTGGTGGGAATTGACAGAGTCCATTTGCCTGCATTGATAACAATGTTTAAATGGAAAACTTGGGATCCTCCTCCATCAATGTTAGAATAATTGCGTATTGACCGAAACGTAATGTAAGTAGGCATAAGATATTTGACAACTTGTTCCTGTGTTCCTCAATCAAATTAAGGACAACTAGCTAGTCCAACTTGCATGTATTATAATTGATAATTTGAAAAAAAAAATCGGTAAAACCCCAAATTGTAATAGGAAAAACAATTTGGTGAATCATTGTAATTACTGAATTTTAATTGAGGGTTCCAGAAGAGGAAGTTTAAGTCAAATTTTGTAATGGTTTCTACTGAGTGCTAGCTTGACCAAGTCCATTGTGAAACCCAAATTTCATCTTGGTTTTGTTTTAACGAGTATTGTGAACCCAAAAATTAGGTTATAAAGCGAAAAAATAATTTCAAAGTCAATCCCAACATTGGCCAAAATAATTATAAAAAAATATATCCCCACAAATTTCATTTTCACAGCGACAAGTCCACCACATAACATTACTATACTTCCCTTGCCTATATTTCATGCATGGAGACAAGGTACAAGGTTTAGAAGAAGCTGCTGATCTCTTGACCAAAAAAAGACACTCCCAAACAAGCAAAGCCGACACCGCTAAAAGCTCACAGAAACAAGTCTACGAACTTCTACAGTGACCTAAACCCACGACGCAATCCCTGATTTGCTCATTTTCATGGGAAAACAAAGGTTTTATTAGCTTTGAAAGAGTCAAGCCACCATTTGAATACACTGACCAAATGACTTCTAACTTTCAATATACATAATGTAATATAATTAGTATTTTTTGTCTCAATTCAGCTCCTGGGTCAATGTTTTCTCCTCCCTAATCAAAAATGAAAGAAAAAGAGTCAATAAAAAAAATTATTGTTTATGGCAAAGGGAACCTCCACGTTGCTCTCCTCTCAAAATACAAAGTCGACAATTCGAATGTTTATATTATATAAAATATTAAAATTTTATGTATTTATATTATATTTTATAAAAAAATTATGTATTATAATTAATATTAATATAAAAATATAAAATATATATTTTTGATTTTATTAAATTTATTTAAAATTTTTATTAAAATTATAAATTATTTTAATTTATATTATTTTTAATTATATTATTACATTTGAAATTATCAAATTTAACATAAAGTCAGCAAATGCAAAAGCAAAAGTAGACTTTTTATATTTAATAAAATTTGAGAGAGTTCATATTGACATTTCGGTGTGGCGGCCAGCATGCATTCACATAGAGCTTTGCCTGTAATTCAGTGCCACATGTGAAAATTGTGGGTGCCAAAAACCATTGGCACCTTTCTTTTCTCAGCCTACTGTTTTTCTGATAGGGCACAAAATGAGAGGCCAATTTTTGGGTTTAGGTCCATAGAACACGAAGATTCTCAATTTGTCACTTTGTCGGCTGAACCTTTTTATTTTATTATTTAATTATATCTTTGTTTTCTTCATGTTCATATTATATTTTTCCTGATTCCCATTACACCTCAGCATGCCAGCCATTTCTTCCCTTTCCTTCCTCCCAAAATACTTAGCTTTTACATTAAATTAAACCAATACAGGTTTTTCTTTCTTTTTTTTAATAGAACCAAAGCTCTTCAATGTTGACCCCATCATTAGAATATTGAAAATTTTGGGTGGAACTAGTATGTCACCATTCACCGAAGCATGAGCTAATATTAGGGGATCAAAAGGAACATGCCCATAAAATTTCTATACCATTTCCATATCATTTGAAAAAGTATAGGTTAAAAATATTGAATTCGAGCTAATTTGGTTGATTTTGCAACTCAATTAAGAAAAGGTAGCACCTCAAAATTTGTCGATTGCCAGACAACCATTTTGTTTTAGATGGGTCTAATCAAAATGGCCACCACTAATTAAGCCAACTATTCTCCTATACTTAGGTTTGGATTTCATTGCATTGATGGTGTGATGTAATTTAATTTATCGCATCATTAATTAAATTTATTCAATATAAATTTTTAATTAAAAATATTTTTAATCATAATTATTATAATTTTTTTTAATTACAATTACAATAATTTTTATTATTATTTTTAATTTTATTGAAACTAATTTCACCGTTTATTCAAATGAAACTTAAGTTATAGCTTAAATAAGGATTAAGATCCTATACATGCATTTGTTGTGAATCATCATTCTCTATGCTAAGTTAAAAATGATCAAATCTAATACATTCAAACATTCGATTTGATTAATTGATGTATAATAATTCGAATCTCCTTTCAAAACAAAATGGGCTAAAATGTTGATGGTTCTTCTTCCTGAACTTTGACCTAGTCAATGGACAATGATGCATGGTTTTAGGCAAATACCATCACTTAACAGCTGACACTACTTTGAACCTCATCTTTTTGAACGAATGAGTCCAAAGCAAACCAACTACTTAATTGAATTGGCTTCTATTTGATTTGACGACCTTTTCCTCTGCATAGAAACACAGAATCTTTGCCTTCGATATGATGTTGCATTTTCCTTATTTATCTTTATTGGGTCCCTATGGTTCAACGCCATTCCCTCTCTTTGTCTCTCAAAAAGTTCCAATGGATGAAACAAACACAAATTTGGAGGAAAGTCGTCAAAACTTGTCAATGTTATTGTAGAAATGGTCATGTTAGTGGGACATATACCATAACTTCAAAAAACCAAAGTTGATTGACATGGTATAACTTCAAAAATTTTTGGGTCACTTACAAATTTTAAATTAGAGAGATGATAAAAGTTGATCAGGTAAATAACCGACACCCCTTTAACCATCATCCAATTAAACATTTTCCTTTACCTCAAAAACTTGTCTCCAGGAAAAACTGGGAAAGAGAGGAAAAGGTCCTTTTAGAGTTTTATTATATATATAAATTTCTTAATTCACGGTTTTGACATGGACAATAATTAGCCACAAAGTTCCAGTTATAACGTAAAAGTTCATTAGGGACCGACCAATAGCAAAAGTTAGGATCGAGTTGAACGGGCTTAAAATAACCTTTGTTCTGGAGTTCAAATTCGAGCATAGGCCCAAAGCTTGTTCGTAAGTCTCATCATTGCAAGAATATATGATATATCTGGTAATCAAACCTAACAATATTCTTTCTTGAATAACAGTTTCTGTTTTCGGAAGGACATTTGATTTGTTACCTGAAATCGAATATTTTGTCACTTTCTAGGATTAAATGCAGCAATTCAATGATAAAAATTAGTTGATACTATTAAATTTAGTTTATTATTGAAGAACACAAAGGTTTGATTATTGGAAGTCATAATTTCATAAAGGTTTTGAATCCCCTATTACTTTTTGAAAAATGTTAATAACTGGTGCCTGTAGGCTTATGTTATCCGGACCCATTACTTTTTTTGTATATATGTAATGCATGATCATGAGACTGAATGAATATTGCAATGAAATTAACAAGAAAAGAAAGAAAATATATGTTCCCAAGTAGCAATAAATTCAGAAAAGCAAACACAAGGGCCAATAAAGCAGAAGTCAATACCCGAACCACCACCCTTGCTGATTGGTGAGGTCTCATCTTTAGGCCTTACCAGAAAGCAAGGGTCACAGCTGGTGCGCTCTTGACTCCCTCTAGCTATTACATAGACATTATAGTATTTCTTTTTAGTCTTTACCCTCCAACACCTTTCTCACATGCTTCCCTTAGTTACAAAATGACTCCTATTTACCACATTAATTAGTTACTACAAATGTCACTAATTTGACAATTCCAGCAATTGATTTGCAGTAAAATTCATTACCAATAACTTCCCCAATCTTCCCATCTTCAAATCCATTAAAAATGGGGGATGTTATGGGTAATTCACGAAGAAACCTGACCTACTTTTCTGGTGCAGAAGCAGGCTCAGCACACGAGCCTAAACCATTTCCATTACGGGGGCAGCTAGGGGTACTACTGCTACTGAGTGCAGCACTGATTTGGTGAACGGTGGTGCATAAATGGTTGTTGATGGCGGCAATGCTCGAGAGATTGATCTTTGTTGATGGAACTGAGCTGGCAAGAACTTGAAGCCCAACGGTGAGTAAACTGCCAGAAATATGACCGTTTGCCTCTTCAGATGGTGGTACTGATTTGCCTTCACCACTAGCATCTCTGATGAGTTCCACTGGGGTTAGGTAAAAGCCTATGGGAAGTAGAGGGATGCAGGATGGGTCCTCCCCGCTCATTGCTAGCTGGACGGAATCAACATCAACGGTGGAGTAAACAACAAGGCTACCGGATCGGTCTGTGCAGCTCTCTTGCAGCATTAGCTCCACATGCTGTGAGGAGTTGCTTGCAACCTACATTAAAACCATATTATATAATTAGGACGTTTTGTGCTATAGATGGTTAAATTAAGTCAGCGTGTAATTTCATGTCTTTGACAATTGCCATAGTGTAACAAAGAAGAGAGAAGGAAAAACTTTTATTAGCCAAGAAGGAAATTCTTACATTGATTCGAAGAAGTGAAATGCAGTTTCCAGGATGGGCGCCATTAGCAATGTGAGCCACCTCATGTAAGGCATTCCCATTTGAAAGAACCTCCAGCTGCATAAAAGTAAGTTAAAATCAGCATTACGCACCAATTTTGCATTTTGCGAAGAAGATAAAATAATGAATTTAAAGCTCAATGGAACCTGAGCTCGGCGGCGTTCATCCCTCAAAAGATCAAAGACTTGGTAGTGAGGATAGGGCAGCCAAGTAGTAGATACAGCACAAAGAATCAGCCCATTGGGTTGGCCAGGTTCTGTGATTTTCCTTGTTGTGATTCTAACAGTATCATCAGCGGAATCTGGTAAAGCTGTCCACAACTGACCACTGGAAGTGCTGATGTTGACACAGAAAGTTCTTATCATTCTTTGAGCAAGTCTCATTAAATTCTTCCTTGCTTCCAGAGAAGGTATCACTGAAAAAGAAAGAAAGGGAAATATCTTGCTAAAGTAACATTAAAAACCAAATTAAAAAAGTAGGTTTTGGTTGCAGGCAAGAGGAGAATTTTTGGAACCTCCTAAGTCAGTGATATTTCTAGCCATGAGGCTAGCAATCCTTTCACATTGTCGCTCTGAAACAGCTAACCAACGTTGTGCTCCAAATGCAATCCCATTGTAAACAAAGTGGCTAAATATCTGATGAACTGGTTTCTCCTCTATGATCTCTGCATGTTCAACCCATGTAACCTGGATGCAGAACCTTCTCAATTCAGTTCAAGAATACTCCCACATTTTAAATTTTCAGTACTGATATTGCTAAATCTCCATGAATGTAAAATGATGCATAATTTCAAAGTGAAACATTTATGTACAATAGAAAGTTATTTTGCACATACCCTTGAATACCCATTAGGCATGTCTTGAATCAAACAGCCAGAGGCCCTTCTCCTGTATAGGGGAAAGGAAGACTGTAAGTTGTTATGAAAGCCATCGAGAGGGAAATCAACAATTGCCCAGTAAGTTTCATCTTTTAGATTTTGTTGTTGGCAATAACGAAGAAAATAAGCTTCTCGAGTGGGCACCAATGGAGATAGAACTTGCAATTCTGCATACATCTGCTCAAATAAAACCAAAGCAATGATCAGATGGATTGTTTGAAGGAACATAAAGGAGTATTGAGCAATTGGCAAAAAAAATAATGTAGCATTGCAGGTGACTCTATACCAGCTGAAGGGAACCATTTGTTCCTGAAACACCAGGTGATATAACTTGAACAGTTTTTGCTCTAGCAACGACAGAGGGAAACAGTTCCGCCCATTTGTTCTGCAATAAGAAGGAAAACATGTCAAAAATGAGATTTATGCCATTGACTACAGTTATTATATAAAGTATTAAGTATATCCAAAAAGCATTTCAAACATTCAGATAATTGCAATATAAATGAAAATTCAAGGAAAGGATGCTTACAGCATCAAGGAATGCATCTACCAAAGTGACGCTATTCATTATAACCACTGCACTATCACGGCTAGCTTCAGTCCTGAACTCACTTGAACGCTGCTTGAGACTTAATGGCCAATGAAACATCCTGGCGTGTTCTTCAAGATTAAGTAATTCCTTCCCATTTTCATTGTTTCGGACCCAAAGAGGCTCATTTGCTTGGCACATCTTCACAAGTTCATCCATGGAAGACATAGCAAGCTCCATTGCAACAGTTTTTTCCTCGTCCATTAGAACTAGATTATTATTCTCGGGGTAAGTGGCTGTTTCTGGCAACATAGGCACAGGCATCATCTCTGCACAGGAAGCCATAGGCTCTGTGAAATGCCTTGGGTATATGTTCATGTCCAAATCTAATGAAGGTGGCATCATTGCAGGAGCTGCACCCATTATTTGGATTGGCCTTCCAATATATCGCGACGCAATAGCACAGACCCGTTCCACCTGTAAAAACAATTCGACATGGTCAAGATAATAACATTATCATAAAAATTTTCTCATTTTCCTGTAGCTCTCAGAGAAAAAAAAAGGGGACTGAAACATTGTACAAAATTGATACTAAATAGAATATTGTTTGGCTAATTATGAAACAATGTTCTTTAATTAAACTTATTAGAGGGTGCAATGCGACTGTGCAATGACGAGGCAAAAGATAAAAGAAATTTTTTATTTAATTAGTTCACTAGCATGCTGTTTACTGATTATAGAGATATATAATCCAGTGAACAGACCTCTTCTCTAAGTCGTGCATTCTCCATCCGGAGCTCTTCGAAGGAAACCCCTCCAGGCACAGCTGGACCACCACAGTTTGGACAAACAAGTTTGCTGAGTTCCGCTTGAAGCCGGTAAAACTCATTCTTGAGAGACTCATTCTCAGCTCTAAGTATCACATTATCAGATCGATCTTGTTGAGCCTGAAAAATTCAAAAAAGAGAAAAAAAAAAATAAAAGAACGAAAATCAAGCATTAATCCTTAAGGGTTTCACATATTATTTGCATTAACTGCCCTCTAGAAAGCACATGTGCAGGTAAAGCATTTTAATGCTCAACCCAGTCCACATTTATGAATACAGACTATAATTGCAAATAGAAGACTACCTGCAGTGGCCACAAAAAATAAATAAGATCCTTCTCTTCTGATGCTACTAAGCGCTATGATGATGGATACAACCCATGTACCCAGGTTCAGCCGTTTAGGGTTTGAGCTGGTTTTAATGCAAAGCAATCAACGCGTTTTCTTGGGAGTCGTGTCTGGTTTTGTGATAAAGCTCTCAAAGGGTTTTCAGTATATAGGAGTAGAGAGAGTTTGTTTGCATAAATACATTTTAGGGTTGGGATTATAGCGAAAGCCCAGAGAGAGAGAGAGAGAAAGAGAGAGAGAAAGAGAGAGAGAGAGAGAGGGAGAAGTTGTTCACCTTAATCTGAGTGCGGCGGTTTTGGAACCAAAACTTGACTTGGCGAGGCTTAAGGCCAAGTTCTTGGCTTAGTTTCATCCTTTGTTTGTCATCAGGATGTGGATTTTCCTTAAAAACACTGCAAAACATTGTCTTTTAAAAGAAAAGGTAATTGAACTGTTGTATGAGAAGAAAGAGACAAATTTATTTCTCAAATTTGGTCCTTTAATGGCTTATTTTTGCATGTTATTTGCTTAAAATAAAACCGTTTTCCGCTTAATCTTTTTTGATAGAAAAAAGATTTGAGATGAAGGAAAAAAAAGAGTAAATGATAGAGAATACGCTTCCATTTCTTGGATCTGACGAGCAGTGTGCCTGTGATAACGTTTCTTCTTGGGGGGTTGCTCAGTGCTCTCTTGCTCATTCCCTGACTTCTCTTCTGCTTGTTCACTCCCAGACCCACTGTCCATCCCCTCTTTCCCTCTCAGAAACAGCCCGTTTTCTTCTTTCTATTCCCCCCAAGAGAAAAAGAATGTTAGTAGAACTTAGACAACAAAAAGGAGAAATGAAAGTGAAGGGAAAGATGAATGTTTGATTGATTTAAATAACTTACAGGAACCATGGGAGGTAAAGGCTGCAAAGGCAAGAAGTTGAAATTAGGGTTTTGAATTGGTGATGAAAATAGGGTTTCTGAAGATACCACATTCCCTCCCACAGACGACATGATTTGACAATCTCCATACATTTTTATTTTCTCCTGATCAGTACTCTTTCCTTTTGATGTGCAAGATTTTCCAGTGGACTAAACCCTTTTCCTGGCTTCACTTGAAACGGTCCTGCTTTTGATCATCACAAAAACGGTGCAACTTTAACAATCATGAGGCACCATAACAAAAATGGAATCTCAAAAAACAAAAAGAAAATACTCCAGATTTCAGACACTAAACCTTCAAGCAAAACTAAACATGAAGTACTGATTTAACCACAGACTGTGATCACTAGGAAAAGAACACAAAGGCTCTAAAATTAAATGCAAAAAGTCGAGAAATTTGAAAATGAATGATGTGATCTTTTTCAACGAGAAAAAGGCTACAGCTTCTCCTTCAAAACCACCACCTCAAAAAAAAAAAAAAAAACTGACATGTCAAGATTGAAGATTTTTTGACAATACCATCAAAACCCACCATGAATTAAAGCTTGAGAAATAAAAGCAAGCACAAATAAGATTGAATGAAACCAAGAAAATTATAGTTAATAATAACAAGAATAACAATAATAATACAATGTAAGAGTAAATACCACCACCAATGTTGTCGGTGTTTTCTTTGCAGAAGAGAGAAAACAAAAAACCTCTCTTTCTCTCTTTCTTTTGCTTTCGCTTTGATTTCTAAAACTAAAACAGGCAATCTCTGCTCTGCTCCTATCTCTCTCTTCCTTCTTGTAATAAATATAGGGAAGTAAATTTATTTGTATATTTTACCCTGCGTGGTAAACGTGGACTTTAACTGCGTTTAATAGAAATCGATCAACGCCACTTACTCCGTTTTACTGTTCCGTTTTTGTTTTTACCATGTTTTGTAAATGAAGCATCCTCCTTTCTTCCGTACGTTTCCAATGCAAAGAAAGGAAAGAGGCCCTAAGTCAAACGTTTTTAATTTCTTCCTCCCTTCCTTAACACACGCGCATGCCGAAATCGTGAAGGTAAAAGATTCTGCTGATTTTGTATATATTTTCACGCTCTCTCTTTTCACTTGCGTTACTTTTCTTTGTTTGGTAATTGTAGATTTTTTACAGTGATGGTGAACTAGAAGGTTGAAAAAAAGAGTCAAAGAAGGAGGACATATTAAGTAAGGAAGGCAATGTCAAAGTGGTCAAACGATCGAAACCGTCAATTATGTATTGTGGGGTCCATCAAATTGGGGTAGGAAATGCAATTGTCAAAGGGGTCAATGGATCAATGCCGTCCAACTTGGTGAGACATTTGTTCCAAAAAGAAATCTTGACGTTTGTCCCCTAATCAAAAAAAATTCCATTCAAGATCTTACATGTCTAATAACCGTAAAATAAATTTGATAATTTAAAATATATTATTATGATATGATATGAATATAATATAAAAATAATATGATTTAAAATTTTAATAATAATTATATATAAATTTTTAAAAAATAAAATATATATATTTTATATTTTTATATTAACATAAATTATGACACATAATTTTTATACAATATATAAATATATAAAATTTAATATTTTATACGATAAAAATATATAAATATCACATCTAACCCAAAATTTTTTTTATATTTAGTTCATTATTTTCACTAAATTTAATAAAAAAATAAAGCATTAATATCAATATGTTATATGTTATATATCCTTGGTTTATTAGAACTAATAGTGATAATAAAAAATGTATGAGGAAAATGGCCATACTAATAGATAAGCAAGTAAAATTTTGTAGGAACATGAGATTTATTTGTGGGTAAGTGTTTTTTTTTTTTTTTTACAAAAGTGATTATAGTATTATAAAAGAGGAAAAATTTGTAAATATTGATATTTAAATTCAAATTTATTTGAATGTTTTTTTTCAAAAATAATTGTATTAATCAATTAAATTAAATTTTGAATTCAATAAGCTAATATTTGCATGTCAAAGGGAGAGAGAAATCAATTTAACTTACAAGCTTTAATGGAGATCTAAGGGATTAACATAAAATGCTATATAACATTTGCATCTAAATAAACTTTTTCTAACTAGCAGAAGAACATGAAGATATAACCCAAAGTTGGGCGTGGGTCAAAGTACATTAATTTTTCATGAATGAATATGTTATATTAGTATTATTATTATTATTATTTGGTTTCAATTATAATTGAGAACCCTTTTTCTTTGTAAAGAATTAGAAGTGGAGAATGGAGATGACGTCCATTGGACCATTGACACCTTGGCTGGCTGTGTTAGAAAAGCTGTAATGGAAAAAAGGGGGGGGGGGGGGAGCTTATTGAATCTAGCTTTGTATTAAGTAGAGCATTGATACCTGAGAATGAGAAATAAATGTAGAGAGTTGATGACAAATTTTCTCAAGTGGATAATTGTGGTACCAGAACCTTAACCTGCGCTGATTAATTACTATATAATATATACACATCAAACATTTTGCTGTCTTTGAGAATCAGATACTATGTTGGAGAGAAAGTCAGTAAAAATTTATGACTAAATCTTCTTAGGTATGCCTATAAGTATTATTTAAGGTTACTTAAAATATTATTTTAAGAATTTTTTTTTTTATATTTAGTTCATTATTTTCACTAAATTTAATAAAAAATAAAGCATTAATTATAAATTTATTATTTTAAATAAAATTTTAACTAATATCACTAGACACCTATTAAAATTTCCCACATTGTTAAGACATTTTCTACATAATTAATAAAAACTTTAGGTCATCAATGGATGTATATTTCAAGTAGTAAAAAAAGTGTGTTTTTTCTTTTAATTGTTTAAATTTGAATTCATTAAAAAATGATGAGATTATAAGTTTTTTATTAATTCATTATGTTGAATGCAAATAAATTTATTTGAACCATTTGAAAAACACGACTAAAAAACATGTCATGGGAATGAGCCATTAATATCATGTAATAAATTGAAACAGCCCAATGTTTGTTGCTTTGCTTTCCTCTTTTCTTTATGCACGACTGGCTCTTAATAAATACTATTAATGTATTGTGTGGTTACACACAAATTTATGTTAGCCAAATTTCATGCAACATATAAATGGCAATAATAATAATAATTTTTTTTGTTGAATAAAGTTTTATTTTAAAAATACAGTTTAATTCATTCGAAAATGACAATTCGAATTCACAAATCATGTGTCCACTCTTTTTTATATCTTCAATATGAATCAAAATGTATTTTAAAAAAAAAATTTAATTACTTAATTATTTTTGGAATATACGAGTTTAATGATAAAATTGCTCTTTTATGATCAGGAGGTCATGGGTTTAAATTATAGAAATTTTCTTTGTATAAATATAAAAAAAAAAAAAAAGATTGCATACTATAGACCCTCACCCGATCCTTACAAAGCGAAAATTTTGTGCACCGAAACTTGTCTTTTACGAGTTTGTAAAACATTGAATTTGGGTTCCTCTATGATTTCATATCCTATTATTCAAGTTGTATTACATTGATTGTCTAGTTTAAATCAACTAGTTGATGTTCCTCTGAAACATGAAAAGCCTAATTTTGCCATGATAACAATGATATGGCAACAAGAAAACACACGTCTTTTGCCAGCCACGATACGTGATTTCTCTTTAAAACCCTTGCTCTATTTCTTTCTTTCTTTTCATTTTCATTAGAAACAAAGTTGTTAAATATGGTCCAGCTGCCATGTGTGGGGGTTGAAACTTGAAAGTGGCCCACACCTGTCACATTTGATGGGCTGCTCTGCTGACTTGCTTGTTGCATCCCTATCCTTCCCAAAGTTGCTTCCCCCTCACTTGTCAAATCGCATTTATAATTAATTCTTCAAATATTAAAATAAAGCTTCAAATAATTGAACAAACACATAGCTATCTTCAATTGCAGTGCCCCCCAACATTTATTTTTGGTTCATGATTTCTGACCGACATTGTGTTTTAGCCATATATTTTCAATTCAATTCAATTCAATTACTAGTACTATTACTATTACTAGGGAAGATGAATTATCCAATAGTCAACATGCATTTCTCTTGCCAACCCAACAGGAAGAGATCAGCCTAAGTCCTAACCACTAAACCTTAAACTCTATGACCAATCCATAATTCAAAGCTTTGATTTATAACAAGCTCAAGTTTTGACTAATTAAGACAGGAATATTGGCCTGAACCTGGCCTGTCTTGGGGTCCATACACTAAACCCATCACTTAGGACTTAATGGTTAAAGTGCAAAAATTGGTTGGCAGTTTCACCGAAAGAATAAAAAAGAGGCTGCCTTTTAATGCTGCACAAATTTTCTTCATCTTGGTTGAGGCTCAAGGAATGGCATTTCAGCATCGGAGAAATCAAAAGAAAAAGAAAGGAACAGCAGAATTTCCATCTTAGGAGAGTGAGTTGTCATAGCATGCCATTGTTATATAACATTTGCTAAATCAATTTTAAAGACTTTTTTATCAATAGATTCATTTTAGTATCTTTTAATTTTACAAAAACCTCATTTTTCATGGCGAAATTGTAAAGAAAACAGAATTATTAATTAGATTTTCAGAAGAAGTATATAAATATCAAAACATGTCTCTTCACTTCTCATCTCATCTCATAGAAAAAAAAATCTATTTTTCAATTTCTTGCCTTGTTATAAGAGTACAAGGTAGCTAGTAGTAAAATATGGTGAAAACTTTAACCTTACATCAGGACTAGGCCTACTGAAGATCGAAGTGCTACAGATCCTATCAAAACTGCATTAAATGAATGCCAAATGATGCTTATCAGAGAGGGATGTCCTTCACATAAATATATATGTCTCATCGAGTAATTACCTATTCCAAAAGCTTGTCATCAGTCTTTGACTAGATTGCTGCCAAGCACTCGAGCACAAAAGCTTTTGAGCCCATTTAGTTTCCTATATTTATTGTTTTGTTAATTGGAACTAGGCTCTGCCATTTGCCAACGTCAAGTGTAATAAAACCCATATTTTATTAATTTATGTATAATTTTCTTCTTTAACAAAATGGATTAATGAGATACTATAGTACATTATGAATTCAATGAAACCATTTAACGAAGATCAAAGAGCAAACAAGAGGAGAAACATATATGCTGCAAGAAATTTTCTTTCAATTAAGAAGTAGAGAGGAAATGAGTAGAAAGAACGTGGCAAATTTTTTAGCATTGATTTAGTCTAAAACGATCAGTCCACGTTCACGAATTAAGATCTAAGTGTGGAGAAACCTCTTGGCTAAACGGTTGACAGAGTCTAGCCAGCCAACCAGCAATAAAGACATGCATAAATCACGGAATTAGAGCCACTTTTCACGTGCTTTTCCTCTTGAAATTTTCTCATGAAATGAAAAAAGAATGAAAGATTTAGTCGAAGAAATGGGAAAACAAGACATTAATAATTATTTTGTTTTCATAATGTTGACTATTCATCTTTTAAATGAGCACGTATGTTCTTCTCTTCTGCCATTTCTTTGCTAAAGATTTCAGCATTCGTTTTCTGTGAGATTAGTGTGATCCCATATTTGGGTTAGTCGCTGGTAAACAGGAAAGATCCATCAAAAGTGGAGGGATTTTAAGAACAATTTTCAAGGCAATCTTGGATCCTACAAGACTCCTTTTGGGCACAGAAACAAAAGGAAACAAATCAACCCAGAAGACATTAATGGAAGTGATGAACTAAGCTGCCTCATCAGATAGCAAAGTACAAGAATTTTTGTTCGAGTTATTTGTTTGCTAAGTTTTTCTTTTATTACTTTCTTGTCTTTGGTTTGAGAATTATTTGCAAGAAGCTTTAAGGTTTAGGGTATTATGAACATTAGCGACAAGCAACCAGCGAAGCTAAACGATGAGCAAATCGCTGAACTACGAGAAATCTTTCGTTCTTTTGATCGGAACAACGATGGTAGCTTAACGCAGCTGGAACTTGGTTCGCTTTTGCGGTCCTTGGGCCTAAAACCAAGCCCTGACCAACTTGAAGCCTTAATACAAAAGGCTGATACAAATAGTAATGGTTTGGTGGAGTTCTCGGAATTTGTGGCTCTGGTGGCCCCGGAGCTGCTCTCGGAGAAGTCACCGTACAGCGAGGAGCAACTGAAGCAGCTGTTTAAGATGTTTGACAGGGATGGTAATGGTTTTATTACTGCTGTTGAGTTGGCACATTCCATGGCGAAACTTGGACATGCTCTGACGGTAGAGGAGTTGACAGGGATGATCAAGGAGGCCGATACGGATGGGGACGGGAGGATCAGTTTTGAGGAGTTCTCACAGGCGATTACTTCCGCTGCTTTTGATAATTCTTGGGCTTGAAGGCATATAAAACAAAAATTTTCTACGATTTTATGTGTATTCTAAGAATTTTCTTGGAGCAGAGAGAGAGAGGCCATGTGAGGAATGTTATAATAAGTAGATGACTTTCTATAGCGCAAGACCTGAGTTTTCCCATTGTTCCTTGATGCAATTTTAACATTGATCCTCTTGATCGTCTATGCGTTCATAATTGAAATATCTGTGTTGCATATTGGCATCAAGTCATCAACCTGGCGTAATCTTTTTAAGCATCGAATTTGAATCAGACAAATACTAATTGTTTCAATGGATCAGAGATTAAACTATGTTCTTGTTAAATTGTTGCCGCTGGGGGGGGGGGGGGGGGAGGGAAGATGGTTCCAGTTCCCAAGCATTCCATTAGTTGAGTGAGGCATCTCACAGCTCATGCTGCTGCAAGAACTTAATTATGGCAGGCTGATTCCTTGTAAAATTCAACTTCGATGATCATTCTTTTCACATCAGTCTGTTGCGATTGTGCCAGAATTATTTACGTTTTTCTACATTGGACCATCCTCGCAAGTTCTTGGATAAAGACTAGATATAATTTTCAGGAGTTGGAGCTTTCTGTTTTATATCGCATAGCCTCTTTCTTTTGAAAGAGTGTTCAATCTGACTGAAATATTTAGCATTGGGTATGTCAAATTCCATCTATTACATAGGATTTTATATTGCTGAATTACTTGTGATGTTTATAGCCCAATGTTTGCATCAATCACTCCCACAAGAAAAGTAGAATTGGGACAGCAATAGATTGAAAAGCAGCTAACTAGGATGACAAAGGAGCTTCTACTAGAGAAGAATTAATAAAAAGTTTGGATTTAATTGTTTCCTGTCAAGAATTTTACATGTCGGAGGAAAGACAAAATGGCATTTATATGAGAAAAGCCATTCTCCTTCAATCAGAAAATAGAATCTAAGCTTTTAGCTTGATGGTTTAAGTACCTCTTTGGAGCACAAAAGTATTAAGATTGCCATTACTGAGTTTAAGACCTTCAGTCCATTTCTCTCCAAAAGAAAAGGATAAGCCAATTTTCAAATAGCACAAAAGCAAGAAGCAACACCGAAAATTAACAAATTATTAGGTAACCTTTTATCAGAACTGAAACTCAGTAATGGCATTGTTCTAACTACCCTTTTCTCATTAAAAGGAATAAATTTTTAATGAGGAAGATCAGTTAGAGTTGATGTCAGAAAAGAAATTGCGTTGTGTGTTTCACTAGAATGTATTTGTCCTACTGAATGCCTCATGTCTAAGTCCTTTAAGTAATGAGTACTGATCTCTAAAAGCCTACAGGGTTCAATGCAATGGCAACGAAACTCATCATTTTCGATATGGAACTACACTCAATTTAGTTACCGAACTACACCATGTCTTGTATTCCTTTGTCCATAACTTCTCATCTATTTATATACCCTCGAATGACCTCTTCTCACAATGAGAATGTATATAGCCCTATTCTGGTCTGGTCCAGTATGGAATGAACTTATAATCATCTAGTGCATTTGACATTTAACAAACTTACTAAACTACAAATAACCTGGGCAGGGTTTGAATGAAATTTTTGCCACAAAATGAAAGATAAGAAATGAATAAATGAAAGCCTTTACTCTACACACTCCAAAAGAAGTTTCATAGAGACAATTAAGAAAGAAAGAAAAAACACTGAGTCCTCTATAACAGGTATCTATTAAACAGTAGTCCTATAGTGCAACAATCTTAACAAAGTATGATAAGCTAGAAGTATGCAGCATATATTTTGCTAGAGATGATAATATCTTGCACACAATTCTGATCTCAAAACTGACATTTTAATCTGAATTGTAGGGAAAAACACAAGGAAAGGCTATGCCTATACCCTTGGCATGTTGTGAGAACAAAAAGGTAAAGCAGGATCAAGCTTCAAGCCATCTTCTTCTTGGATTTGAGCATCACGAACCCAATAAACATGCAGAGGAGGCAAAGAAGCACAACACCAGCACACACAGGAATCAGTATGGCATATTCCTGGGGTAGGAAATAGTTGTGGATAAAATTATCACTGTCCACAAATGGCTGAAAAGACATGACCAAAGATTTAGAGTCAGAAATCATAATCAATCAGAGTTCATAAAGAGGCTACTATTCAATTAGTTTGAAAATGAAGTAGTAAAATAATCATCAGAAACTGACCAGGATGATGACCCAAAACGTATAATATGTGAATATGGATAAGCTGATAAAAGATAAAAGGAACCCAACCGCTCGATCTGCTAATTCCATTCTCTGATAATAAAATAAAAAATGATTATGAGAATTTAAGATCCCATCCCACGAAGCTTCCAAGATTTAAAAGTGCAAAAATTAGTGAAAAAAAAAGAAAAGGATTTCAAAGGATCGGTGACACTACCTTTGGAAGAGCAGAAATTGAAGAGAGATGGAAAAGATTGAAAATCGATTTTTTTTGTGGCGGCGAAGAGATTGGGGGAACATGCAGAGGAGGAATTGGGACTTGGGAACTGTTTGGAGGTTTCTAAATTTGTTTGATGAATCAGAGGACTCTTCTGTTATCAAAATAAAAGAACTAATAATAATCATATGGTAAAATTCGAAGCTAGTCCCTGTATTCTTTGGAATTGTTAATTTAAAATTCTTATTTCTAAAAACATAAATGATACATTAATATTTATAAATTATTAAAATTTAATTAAAATAAAATTTGAATTCAATTCGCTTATTATCAAATCGAACTCGAAAAGCTCAACTTATCGATCGAATTAAGTTTGAGTATTTTTTTTTAACTTGAATAACTTACGAGTTTAATTGAATTTTTATATTTTAATTAATAAAATATTTTAAACTCAAATTTGAGTACAAATAATTAAATTTTTATCGAATATAAAAATTAAATTTATTTTTACATGTTAATCAAATCTAATCGAACGAATTAAAAAAAATTTAATTTTTATTTCGAATCAAATTCAAACTAAAAAAAATAAAATTCGATTGCAATCAAATAAATATCAAATCTCGAATTTAAAATCAAATTCAAGTTTAATATTGTATCAACAGCTCGTACTCAATCAAAATCACTTCTATTGTTCTGGCCAAAAAGACAAAAGTTTGTTTAGTTTTTTTGTTCAATTTTTTTTCAGGGGTATCAATTTATCAACAATCCTTTTAAACGAGTTTGCTAATGGTGCAATTACATACATAGCATCAATGAATGGAGCTGAGTTATCATAGCCAAATTTAGAGAATTGAATAAATGGGAGTGGGGAAATTATTCAACGCCTACTAAATTCAAGGCTCTAACGAAATCCAGAGAATTCTCCCATTTAATTACGTATCCATCAGACGTGTGGCTGTGGCACACACGATTCCCAGATTATGTATAATACAATGACAATGCCCAGGTTATTTATGATACAATCAAATAATCTGTGTTCTTCGAGGAACGGAAAGCTGGAAAATATAGACTCACAAGAACATACAGAAAGCAGAGGGTAAGGGAAATCTATTATCCCATGAAAAAAGCCTTCATAAGTCTTGCAGAATCCAAAGCAAGGTATCCTTTCAAAATAAAAGTCTCAAGGCACCCAACTTAGCCCTTTCCAAGTCTCACGGTTTGTGAAGTCCACAAATGCAAACAGAAAAGAGTTTTCACGTTCACTTGTGCAGCATCCATTGCATTATATCCTTTCTAATAACTCCCTCGCCTCTTGCGTAGTTCAGCCTCAACGTGTCAGATCCATTGATGCTCAAATGCCTGTATTGAGTCATGTTTCCAGCAGCCCTTGGTGGCTGCATCATCATCACAATTGTAGGGAAGGATTTACGCCACATATTTGTTGATGAGCTAAAAAGATGTCTATCAGCTTCACTGTTTCGAGGTGTGTGGATGCTTCTAGGAGTTTTCAATGAGGATGAATTTGTCACTTGTTTTGGAATGTTCAAGTTTGCATTGCCAGCATCATGGTGGGGTTTCTGGTGGGTTGGAACTCGGATCTGAGCTGATGGTTTCATTTTGTCAAGCCAGCGGAGGATCCAGTTACCAAGATTCTGACCAACTTCTAAGTCTCTCTGCTGTATGTTCTGGTGAATCTTGAGTGCTACATCAAAAACAGCACGTGTTCGTCTGGTGAAAGAAAAGATAACAAATTCCAATTTAGAAAAGAAAGGAAAAGAAAAACTAAAGAAAGTCTTTTCAAGTCCTATTCCATTGTAATGATAATAGTTCCAAACATTTGATATTTAGGATTGTGCTTTTGTCTAGACATGAAATCACTGCTCATATGAAAATATGGAGGAACAACAGGATCACAAAATTAAAGTTACTGTAACATTGACGAAACTCTTAGGAATAGAGCATAGATTAATGAGTTCATGTGCTTCACCCATAGCTCTTAGAAACAATGCACTTGGGGTATGTTTAAATATCACACCATGGAAACCCATGGAACATTATACTGTCATCATGCACCTTATTAGCTTAAGAACCGATTCACTAATTGATTTACTGTTTATTCATACCTGATATGTTTTATGACAACACTAGGAAGATTGAGACTTGTGTGTGTGTGTGTGAGAGAGAGAGAGAGACAGAGACAGAGTATAACTTGCTGCTTGACATGTTTAGATATCAATCAAAACATTTAAGTAAACATGAAATGTTTTGTAGACATTTTTAATGAACATGCAAACACCTAATTGAAAAGGAAAAAAAGGTTGATTGATGTACTAATAAGACAGACTTATTCCTCACATGCTATAGCAACTTGAAAGAAAAACCCGATCGGCTGACCCTTTCATACATATATATGGGCACAAATCTTTGTTTTGCCCTAAAAAAACCTTTGACTATGTAGTTATAATTGTCAGCTAAACATTGATTGTGATGAAATTGTGAGTTGTGGCACGTTCATATGCTCAATTAAAATCCACAGGCATGTCTGCAGCTGAAATTTTTGTTGAATGGAACTAAGAATGCATCGTATTTACATGATTATCTCAAACCACTTCTCAGAACTAATGAGTTGGTTACAAGAATATGCTTTGCTAGCGCATACAATTCAGTACAAGTTAAAAAACCATTGCCTACTTATGTGGCAGTTGAACAAGAATGCATCTATGATCCAACTCATAAGAAATTTTGCAAACTAATTCATACTGTAACACAAAAAGAAATCAAACATCCCTTGAGAGTCAAGTTACCCCTATGTCCACCCTAGGCTTTGTGGGCAGTGCAAGTAGGCCCATTTTCACAGTGCCTAAAGGCACCATTAGTGCAGGAGTATCTGTTTCCTGCGGCAAAAGGATGTGCTTGGCCAGAAAAATCCTCATAAACATTCAATATGCTCTCATGTACCCTTGGCATTATCAATGAAAAAGAAAATGGAGACAGACCCTAATTTGACCACAAAGACCACTTCTCACATGTTGCAGATCCTAATTCTCAGAATTTCCATTAGAAAAGATGCAAATAATCTTAACCCCCTGTAAGCTAAACACCCAACAACTACTAAACCAATCATCCAGTAAAGAAGACATTGAAAGGAGGTAGGTAGCTAGCTAATTACTAAGGATGATATCTTTCATGAATTGATTGAATCCTGCAGAAATGAAAGATTCTTGAACGTGTTATAAGATCACGTAATTTCACCTCGTCACAACCTTAAGCCCATTAACAAAAACTAATAATCAACGAACAAAAAATGACGCAAACCAAAACAAACCTTTAATCGAATAAAGAACGATCAAACATCAAAGAAATAAGGCAACAGACAAAAAAATTACTAAAATAAAGAAAGAAATAAAGGAATAGAGGAATCATTTACCTTCGAACAAATTGCCGGATCCTTTGATGCTTAGCGCTAATAATCCGTCGCTGAATCTTCAAAGCGAGCCTGTAAGTTCGTTTAAGCCCCAAGAAATACGCCGTTCCCAATGTAATCTCCCACAGCACCATTTTTCCCTCACTCTTTTTCAAAAGGCGTTTAGTTTCTTTTCAATCACGCTCTTGTGACGTTTTCTTCTTAATAATTTGTTTTAGCTAGGCACTAACAATACCGAAGCACCGAATACAGATATCAGCCGTTGTGATCTTTCTAAATTATCTCTCCACCGTTTACTAGATTCTAGATGGATCAGGGCTGACCTTTTAGAATTTTTGGCCCAAATATAAGTTTTTGGGCTTTTAGCTACAGCCTACCAGGATTTCACAATAAAAAAATTGGATGGGTAACTTTTCAACGTAGATTTATTGGGCTGAACTTTAACCCTTAGGCCCAATTTTAAGCTTATTTTAAGAGGATAATTATATAACATATAATTAATAATTAAATTTTATAATTTATTTAATATTTTTAAGAGAAAACATTTTTAAATGAAAATCAGTCAATGTAATTAAAATTCTTATATATTTTACAAATTGGATAAGTTTTATAAATATTTATAATAAAAATATTAACATTACAATATTAATTACTAATGCGTGTTTTTTAACATAAAAATGTGGAAATTTTCTTATATTGCTTTTATCTTGTTGTTTAGTATTTTCCTTATTTTATTGCTTAATGCTTTCTGCAATGTTTATAGCCCTAAATACATCATATTTTATTTTAAGACATTATTAAAGATTAGATATTTACTCTTAAATCGATCATTGTTTTGGAATTCTCTTTTTAATAATCCAAACCAAAGGCAACAATCCAAACCAAAGGCAACAACTTTAAAAACTTGGTTAATTCTGTGGAAGAAATCGTAGTAAGATCAAATAGTTCATGAGTTTATGAATTTATGACTAAGCCACCTTATGTCTGCTTTTCTCGCCCTCTACAGAATGAATTTATGAGTTTGTTTTGGAGACATGAATGAAGATGGCTACGGTGAAGGAGAAGCCTGATCTCAGGCAGTTCAGCTTGGACACATTTTGTTACCATACAAAACTGTCTGGGTAAGTTTTTGACTTAGCAGTCGACTCTTACGTATTCTTCTCAATCTGTATGTCCTGCTTAAGGCTAGAAGAAAAAAATGAAGCGCAAGAAGGCAAGGAAGAGAGACACTAGAGATAAGAATTAAAGATGGTTCTGAATCTTAACCTTATGATGATATAAACAATCGAATAATTTTGAAATGATAAATGATTCAAGAAAGCAGGTTATATGGTTGCACCCAGAAAATGAGGTTAATTAACGATGAGTTTCAATAAACTAGGAACAAAACAAGGAACGAAGAGAATACCTAGGCATGCCCAGATAGTAAACTAAGAATCAGTCCTCGGAGAATCAGAATACTAAGAAACTGAAGAGGCAAACTCCAAATCAACATCAATGCACAAGGTCTATCATACATCTTCATTATTTATAACACATACATATGCAATAGCTGGAATGGTAAATATCATGCTAAGAACTAAGTCCAACAGGAAAGCTATTCTGAGTCAACGGAATAATAACGGCAAAATCAAAGGCAAAAAGATGTAAAAAGATTTCACGATTTGGAAATTTTGAACCCCAAGTGATGTGCCCCAAACATCATGATTGTTTTTCATGAACCGAAAGGAGGAAGAGGATAAAAAAAAAGGAATAAAGAAGTCACTCTAGCACTTCAAGCTTGGTCGTCCACTAGTACTACAAAACTATGAAAATCATGAACAATAAGAAGTGAAAGCATATGCTTTAGGTCACTCGAAGCCCCATTCAAAAAGTGGAGATAAATTTTGTTAACACTAGGCTTGCCAAAATCTGAACTGAAATCCTTATTTCTTCTTCTGTTGGTCAGAAACTCTGGCTCCCATAATCTTACAAACAGGCTCATCTTTTGAATGAATAAGCTTTAGGGCTGGATGAACCTTGAGGTCTCCCATTACCAACTTCTGACCCCCATCCAACTCACTCAAATCAACATCAATATATGGAGGAATAATATCTGCTGGGCATACGAACTTAACAGTCCTCTTGATAGTATTCAAGAACAACCCTGCCAGGTTTATGAAGCAAGTGATATTTAACATATATAGATAAAAGAATATACTAGTTACAATAATAAGGAATGCAAAAATGAGATTCATATGAGCAAAGTAAAAAATTGAAACATATTAAAACATATATAACTTGTGAGTTGTGAATGAGGCAAAAGGAATATGATCAGTTGACCAGGAGACAGCCCCAACTAACTGAAGAGCAATCTATGATAACCATTAAAGTGTGGATTATGCATAAGTAACATCAGGTTTTGGTGACAAATATTTAATTTCCTGGTACCTAATATGCTTGTTAATGTTTGCTATGGTAAGCTTAATAGAATTGAATGGATAAAAGAAAACACAAAAATACTAATATTAGGCAATAAACTTCATATGGCACTATACCCAGTTATATCACTTGCTCCCTTCCATCTAAAACTACTAACTATGAAGGTCTGAGCACCCTTCCAGAGAGTGAGGCAACAACTTTTTATCTCTAGAAGGAATGATAAGACTTAGCTAGTTATCACGTCAAATAATCTCCACATGACTAAATGGAAATCCTTACATAGGATAATGCAAATCAACACCAAAATTATTCATATGTAATACAGGAAGTTAGTGAAGATGTAACATACACATATCACAAAGGGAAAATAAAAAACCAGAGAGAAATGGCCATGTCCATTGACATATTAATACAAAAAAAAAAAAAGAAAAAACTAATGCTGCACATAAAACTACAGTTAATATTGAAACAAGAAACGAATTCTCCATGGTACTTAAGCACTTGAATGTCTTCACAGTTCACACACACATAAATCCAAACTCTTCAGCGATTTAAATAAAACATAAGTCAGCAGAACCGAAACTAAACACAAAAAAAAAAAAATGCAATTACCACTTATATATATTAATATTTCACAATAACAGTCCACATACACCTAATCCTTTGAGCAGTGGAATCATTAGAAAAATCTCATTCAATCAACGTTCATCCAATGAAATTATATCAAGGAAAGAAAAGTTCATTGCAGCTCTTTACCTTTCCTTAGTCCAGGGCATACATCTTCTCCTCTGAACGCAAGAGGAACATCAACCTTCAACAAAGCATGCGAAGGCGCCCTTATGAAGGTCACGTTAAGAGGTGCATCAGTCCCCGCATGCAAATGAAGCTGAAACATTTGTTTAAAAAGAAACATACCCAAATTAAGTGGAAAGCATAGCTGATTAAACAAAAACGAAAACTTTACTGTAAAAATTAAAACTTTAGAAGAAAACTAACAATTTGATAATCAAATTTAGTGAACTAAAGAAAAAACCAAAAAGCCCATTACCATCCTGGGGAGAACACGGACTTTCTCAATCAAATCACCGGTTCCAAACTCTGATCGAACCTCAAGATCAAAAAGCCTAGAAAGGAAAAAAGACTGGCCTAGATGCTTAACCAATTTTCTGATCTGATTGTTCTGAACAGAAATGAGCCTTTTGTTGCCTCCATGCTGCCCATCTTCTTGCTCGAAAACGATGCTGGGGACGCGACCCACTTTTCTTTCTTTGGCGGCGATGCTCTTCCCAGACGCGGCGCGTGGGATGGCGAGTATAGTCTCGGCGTATTTAGGGTCAGGCTTCGGGAAGCCTTCGAGGTACGTCAATGGAAATGGAGATGATGGTGATACTGAAAATGATTGATCGAGTGAGAGAGCGGCTTGGGAGAAGAAGCGGAAGCGTAGGCTGAGGGTTTTGTTGGATAGCGTGCGGCGGATGAACATAGCTATGACCAGCGTTTGCGAAAGAGGGAGAGTTGGGTCGCAGAGGGGGTTAAGAGAGGTTTTTGCTGCGGCCTGCCTGGGTTACTGATCTGGAGTTTTAGGAGGGTGGGCCGAAAGGTAAAGGATGCTGACCCAAGGTGAACTGCGTTTTTATTATGGTCATGTTCTCTTTAGTGTAATAGTGTTTTATATTTTAATTATGTTAACATGATTAAAAAAAGATAATATTATTTATATCGTATTGATAATACATTTTAAATACAGTATTATTCAGGAAACATATAAATCATATAAAATTATAAAATTATTTTGATTTATTTCTTAAATAAATTAATAATTATATTTATTATATCATTTAATTATTTAAATAGGTTATAAATATTTAATTTTTAAATAATTTTTTATTTAAATACTAATTTAAATTACATATTTTTTATAAATTAATTAATCATATTTAATCGTATTATTTATATTTAATCATATTAATCATGTTGTATTGTGTTATATAGATTATATTAAATAAATAAATTTTAAATATATTAATCATGTTATAGAGTGTTACATATAATGTATATAATAAATATATCGTATTTTTATTTAAATTATTCATGTTATGTTCATATTAAAATTATTTATGTTATATTTGTATCAAAATTATTTGAATCTGTTTCAAATCGTATTTGATATAAAATATAATAAAATAATATAAATTATCATATATATATATATATGATATGTATAATTTTTTAGATTTGGATTCCAATTAAAATTTAGAGATTAATAAAGTGATTTATATTTTAAAACATATTAAAAATATAATATATCAACTTTTTATCCCATTTATAAAATAAAAAAAAATTTCATTAATATCAAATGATATTTCTTTCAACTATTACAAAGATGGCTCAAAAACACGTGAAACACATCCTTTATATCAACAGCAGTAATTATTTATTTATTTATTATCAAAATAACACATCAATAATTATAAGATAATTTATTTGACTAAAATCAAGCGGCCTCTCACCATCAAAACCAAAAATAAATATTCTTTAATTTTCCTTTTTTATTTTAAATCTTTTCCTATAGAAAACAAAATCTTTTATATATTTTTGTTTCTTTTGAAAACGCAAATTCTCTTCTCTGTCACAGTCCCTCAATTCTCGCTCTGTTATTAGTTTCCGTTTTCTTTTTTTTTTTTCACTAACCTTGCAACTAAAGGGCCCTCTCGCTTGTTCTTTCCGTTTTCCCAGTCCCTTTCTCAAGAAAATTTCATCTCGAATTTTCTCGAGAAGGTTAGGGTTTATAACAAAGACGGATATAGAGAAGGAGCAACCATGAGCTTTCAAGATCTGGAAGCTGGACGGCCATTGGCGTCGAGGCAAAACCTGATCAACGGCAAGCAAGACGCCACCCAAGCATTGGCTTCTGGCATTTTCCAGATCAACACCGCCGTCTCCACCTTCCAGCGTCTCGTCAATACCCTTGGGACTCCTAAGGACACGCATGAGCTCCGAGAAAAGCTGTGAGCTTTGCCCAATTCAATTGCTTTGATTTCATTTTTAACTGATTACATGATTTCAATGTGACCGTCATTTGATTTTGAATCAAAATATTCATTTGCGTTGATTTTAGCTTCGATCTTTTATTTAGGAGTTTCAATTAGGGATGATAAATGATGCCATTGGTCAAGTTCAATTTGACTTGCCTTTTGGATAAAGCTCAATCATTTTCGTTTGGATAAATGTGACAATTCTTGAAATAGTTTATATTTATCTTGATATTTAATGTTGGCACTTAGCAGTCTGCTTCCTTGTATTGCATGGGCAATTGGTTGCTTTCTTTCGATTTTCTTGAGTGAGTTTGACTATATGCTAATAAGATCATGAGTGGGCGGTATAGCTGACATGTCTCACTTGGCAGGCATAAAACGAGGCTACATATTGGGCAATTAGTGAAGGACACTTCCGCTAAACTTAAACAAGCTAGTGAAACAGATCACCGTGCTGAAGTTAGCGTAAGTATGGTCTTTGGCTTTGGTTTTCGGCTTTGGTTGATTATGTCTACCAAGCAACATTCTGCTTTACTTTCTACATTAACAAAGAGGCGATGATAACTATGGTGTTTGTTATTCATAATGTTTCTTTTGTTCTATTCAAGATCGTGGTAAGTCATATAGTTTATTGAACTTATTGCTAAAACCACTTAATCCCTCATCTCTCTCTCCCCTAAGGATGTCCTTGATGTCCTTTAACTCCTTGTAATTGTAGGCCAGCAAGAAGATAACAGATGCTAAACTTGCAAAAGATTTTCAAGCAGTTTTGAAAGAGTTTCAGAAGGCTCAACGGCTTGCAGTTGAAAGGGAAACAGCATACACTCCTTTTGTTCCCCAGGCAGTTCTTCCTTCAAGGTATCTATGTAGGAAGGTTTTCATGTACATAGATGGGTAGAAGAGTGCATTCAATGTTCTGTCTTCATGGCATAACTGGAAAAGTGAGTCATGAGCAAGATGGTTTTGACAAATCACATATAAAACATCTACATTGATTATTGAATTTCTGCCATTTACTGGTTCAAATACAAATTACTTGGTGGTTATACTTGTGTTATGCTTCAATCCTGTTCTAGGCTTTTGCATGTTATTCTTACACTGAGGTCTCTTCCTGGTATATTCAGCTACACGGCCAGTGAGATAGATGTAGGTTCAGATAAAAACGCTGAACAGCGATCTCTTCTTGTGGAATCAAGAAGGTAATTTCTGGTTCTTGCAAGCCATCCCTTTCACATGGTGCACACTTGCTCTTTTCTGGACTTTGGACATGAATTTTCTTGTTCTCTTTTCCTATTTTAATTCATCGTCTATAGGCAGTTTGGATGAGTTCTTTAAATAGATTCTGGACTTGTATGAATCTTCCATGCCAGTTATTTTTCTTGGTATATGTGTGTGTATACAAGCACTGTTGTCTCTTTGTATATCTATATGCATATAGTAGATTAGAGAATCATAATTAATCAAAAAGATGCCAAGGGATACCATGCCACGCATTACATAGTTGTGGATTATAAATACTTATAGGAGGGCGATTTCTTATATTCATTCCCCCAAGCCATGCATAGATACAATACAGATTTTCTATTATTTATCCCCAGAATTTTCAGAAAAAGATTTGTGTGATTCATGGTGCTATTTCTTTATAGACTGTTTATCTATTGTACTATCTGATTATTCCTTTTTATGAATTGGATTATCCAACTACAACCTTTAGCTTTGCATATTTTCTTCTTGCAGACAAGAGGTCTTGCAGTTTGATAATGAGATTGCATTTAATGAGGCCATCATTGACGAAAGAGAACTAGGAATTCAAGAAATTCAGCAGCAAATTGGTGAGGTGAACGAGATCTTCAAAGATCTTGCTGTGCTAGTTCATGAGCAAGGAACTATAATCGGTTAAGAATTTTATCTTTTGCATTGAATTCAATCTGATTTTTCTGTCCTTTTGAGTCATATTGAAAAGTACTGAAAGTCAATCTATGCTGCAGATGACATTGGGACCCATATTGAAAATTCACGGGCTGCCACTGTTCAAGCTAAATCCCAACTTGTGAAAGCTGCAAAGACTCAGAGATCAAATTCTTCTCTGGTAACGTACAATGCTCTGATTCTTATGTTTTATTAAATCATAAAATTGTGCACTGGATGTGAATTCCGCCATGCAGACATACCCACTTTCTTTATTCCCTTTTAATTGGTATAGTGGGACATAATGTGGGCTTCCTTTGGTGGTCTAGGAATCCTGATTGATTGCACACAATAATTGTCAAGTGACCTGCCTATGCAAAGCCATCTGAGACAGTTGCTTTCACCATTGAAAGATAGCCGTCCACCATCCTTCCTAGGAATTAATTTCTTTACTTCTTTTCTGCGCAGACCTGTTTGCTCCTGGTGATATTCGGAATTGTGCTTCTGATCGTGATCATAGTACTGGCAGCCTGATCAAAAGGTTGTCCAATTTGATTGCAGAACAATTTCAAGATCTTCTTAGCAGCAAGAGGGTGATATTTTTGCTAATCTTAGTATATAGCATGATGGCTGACTGGAGTTCACTTCTGATCTTTGTATATAGCATCTGGCTGTCGGTCATCCTTTATGTTATTTGGTTGATCTTGGGGTGGGGTGTCTCTTTTTCTATAAGTTGGTGTTTGGATATGTCGAGGTTGTGTTACAGCTTTCGTGTATTGTCCCTTTTGTTTTCTTGAAATTTACTCTAATATGAGCCATAATTCTTTGGTTTTTAGCGTGTGTGTGTGTCTGTGTGCCTGTGTGCATTTACATAGTGCCTTATTTCCATGGCATTGTGATTCTGGCTTGCTGCATTAAATTTCTCTGGTATTCAAAAACATATCTGCTTCACTGGAGCAGTTTTAAATCAAGTTCTATTTATCAAATTATAGTTGGAATAAAATTAGAGGACCAGTATCAAGAACAGAGCGTTGGGCTTAGAGTTAATGAGGCCCAGTGGATCCAGTCTATTCCACAACCCATAAGCAATGAGAAACAATACCCTAGGCCTTTTCGCCATAATATTAAACCAGGATGAACTGTCTATCTCGCATGCTGTACTTTGTCGGTCCATTTTGAACTACCAAAACCAAAGACCCAAACAAGAACCTTCGAGTTCCAAACATTCAGACAAAGTTTGAAAACTGTCATTCAAAGAAAGGTAAAAAATCTGTCTTGCTCATCCAAAAAACTGAATTCTTTTCACCTGTGAAAAGGAAAAGGTTAAATAAAGAAAAATGAATAGTTCATCACCAGTGTATACTTCAATATCAACAATAGCAATCGTTGATACGTTGGAGGAGGAGCAAGTGCTTCCGGTGCTGCTTTGGAGGATTTCCATTTCCCTTCTGATCTTATTTCTATCCAAGACCGCAAGGACGTGGCCATGCGTGGTTTGTTTATTTATTCTTTTTATTTATTTATTTATTTATTTGGGTGTTCTTCCTGTCTCTTTTTTCTATACATTGTGTAACGTTTGTGCTTTTAGCCATTTTGGGTGATCTTATTTCTGTATTAAGATTTGGGTTTTGATTATATTTGCGGAATTCTTTAATTTTGATGTTATATTTCATTGTTTTTGCTATATTTCTGCATTTCTTTTTTGAAGTCCCTTTCATGCAAATTTAATTTTTTTTTCTGTTTTTTTTAACCTTTGACATTTGATTGCTTCTGCATTGCAGTTCTAAAATCTGATTTGATGGCTGCGCTCAATGAAGAGGTTAAATCATTGGATGAAGATAACTGGAAGTTTAAAGGCCTCCGTTTCCGCGTCCACCTGATATCAACACCAGTTTGGTTCTTCAATTCATTGGAAACCAATTGCCTTTTCACTTTTGTTACATCCTGTAGATTATTTCGAATTCCAATTCTAATGGGTGGCTTAAGTTTTGGATCTTTTGGTTCATTTTCATTTTTCATTTCTATTTTCTCTCACTCAAATTTCTCTCCCTCTCTCAAAGCCCCTACATCATCTCACACTACCTTTACCTACATCTCCTTCATTCTCCAGTCCTAACTGAAGTATTCCCCCTTGGTTCTCTCTGTTCCTCTCTGCCATACCTCTTTTTCTCCCCTAACTTTCTTGAACTCTTTAACTTTTTCTCTCTGGTATTTCATCTGTTCTCTCTTTGGTCTACATCAGATTTAGTTTGTGGGATGTCTTGAAAATTAGTTATTTCCTGGAATCTCTTTCGATACATTTCTTTGGCATCGGAATCCAATATCCAACTCTTCATGGGTTCCGTCTATGTGCCTTTCTGATTGCTACTGTTTCTGTAAATTTACGGAAATATATTTATTCAATTGATGTTATTGAGTCCACCAGGTGGATGTCTACAGAAGCAGATGGAGTTCACAAATAATCGGAGCATTGCCTCACCAAAATATTTTCAGCTTTTGTGAGAGTGGACTTCATAGCAAAGAGATCTGGCTCTGACGATCAGCAACTTGATTATATCTGTACATTGCTCAACTTCATTATGGATTCATTGGACTATGTAAACCCTTTGTAAATGTTGTTCATAAGCAGGATAAAATTTTTCCTTCCATTTGAAATTTGAATACTCCTGAAATGATCATTAACGTCGCAGCCTGTTGCGGTGTTCAGTTTGGAGTCAAGGAAGCTTAGAATCATCAACGTCAGCTCAGGGTTGCGTCTAGCTTAAAAGTATTAATGTCTGAGTTCAGTGCAGCTTTGACGTTTCCGTAAGAAATGTCTTCTTTTAGAGCTCAGCTAGACTACAGGCTACCATTAATTCGACCATGTACATACCCCGCTTGGTGCCTCGCGTAGGGTGTCTCATTTGCCAAAAACCCGTTCTGATCACTGCCCCATTTTACTGTCTTTGAAAAACAAAGTTCCTAGGGTGGATCCTAAACCTTTTCGCCTTCAGAAGATGTGGTTTGACCACCCCGAGTTTTTATCCCTCATCCACAACAGTTGGATTAAGGGCCAAGAATCATTAGCTCAATCTCTGCTGACTTTGAGAAAGGACATACATGAATGTAACTTGAATTCTTTTGGTAATATTTTTGGTAATATTTTTTGGAAGTAGAGAATTCTTGCTCGATTGTCAGGCATTGAGAAAGCCTTGGAAAATTCACCGAACCAGTTTCTCTTGAACCTTCAAAGAACCCTTTTAGAGGAGTTTAATGGCATCCTTGAGGTAGAGGAGGATATTTGGATTCTTAAGTCTAGGGTGAACTGGCTTATTGAAAGAGAAATAAATACTCGATTTTTTCATGTCGCTATCATTTCACGGAGATGTTATAACAAAATTTTTAGCCTAACGAAAGATTGAGTATGGATCATTGACTCTAGAGATCTTGGCCTGGTGGTCCAAGATCACTTCATGAAACTGTTTACTTCATCCTTCTGTCAAAGCTCTCATTTCGTCACTCTCGAATCTTGATTTGGGGCTAAGCTTAGCACACATGAGCAACATGATTTGTCGAAACCTATCTCAAATTTGGAGATTCAAAAAATATTTTGGAGTTTCAAATCCTTCAAAGCACTTAGCCCGAATGGTCTCTACCCCTTCTTCTACCATCGTTGCTGGAATATTGAAAAAGATAAGATCCGTGCCATTATTAAATATATTTTTGAGGTGGTGTCCATGCCCGAAGATTTGAATGAGAAGTTGATCTCTTTGGTTTCCAAGTGTATTAATCCCACTCGGATAGATTAGTTCAGGCCTATAAGTCTTTGTAACATACCTTACAAAGCTATCTTAAAGATCATGGTTCAAAGACTAAGGCCCTTTCTAGACAAGTTGATTTCACCTCTCTAAGCTAGCTTTGTTCCTGGTAGAAACAAATGTGATAATTGCATTATCATTCAAGAACTTGTCCACTCATTTAAAATTAAAAAAAGAGGATTGAGACATATGATAGTCAAATTGGACCTGGAAAAAGCCTATGATAGGCTTGAATGAGGTTTCATTAGAAAAGTGCTTACCTTTTTCAATCTACCAAAGTCTTGGATTTCCTTGATCATAAGTTGTGTCTCATCCTCTTTGATTTCCATTTTGATGAATAGAGGAATGCTAAAAAAATTCAAGCCTTCCAAAGGTTTGGGACAAAGGGATCCTTTGTCCCCTTTACCGTAAATGACAGCCTACTAAAAGTTCACGAAATGGCCCTGTGCTATCTCATGTCATATTCGCAGATGACATTATTCTTCTAGGTAGAGCAGAAGAAAATTTTGCTAAGATTATGCAGGAGGTACTCATAGGATTTTGTGGTGAGTCTGGACAGACCATTAATATGAAAAAATCTAGAGTTTTTTTTTTTTTTTTTGCTAACATCGGACAAGTCTAACAAAAGAGATATTACTAACCTTTTGGGCATTAACGAAACCCTTGATCTCGAAAGATACTTGGGTTTTCTTATCCATAAAATGAGAGTTAGTAAGAATGATTATGCTTTCATTGTCAACAAGATCAAAACAAAGTTAGCTGGTTAGAAGGTAAATCTGCTTTCTCCTGCAGGAAGAACAATGCTGATCAAGTCGACTATAAAAAGCATCCCTAGTTATTATATACAATGTAGAGCCCTTCCAGTAAGTATTTCAAATGAGTTAGACATGGCTAATAGGGATTTTCTATGGGAAAAAAAAGGGATAAAAAGAGATTACACCTGTTTAATTGGAGTGAAGTGACAAAGAAAAAAAGTGAAGGTGGACTAGGTTTGAGAGAGACTCGAGTTCAAAACCAAACACAGTTAACAAAGTTAGTTTGGAGATTTTTTTCATCAAAAGGATGCTTTGTAGGTTAAAATGCTGAAAGAAAAATATCTTCAAGAAAATAGTACTATGAGAAAAGCTTCTAAAGTGTCGACAATGGGGAAAACCATGAGATGGGCAGGTTCGATTGTTGAAAAAGGTATTGAATGGGTCATTGGTGATGGCTCATCTACGAGCTTTTGGCATGATAATTGGTTGGAGACTGAGAGTTTAACAGATGCTATTCATGGCCCTCTTAATTGGCAAGAAGATCAAGTTTCAGTGAGTCAGTGTCTGAATGCAATAAAAAATAATTAACCTCTTCCAATTTCCTTCTAACTCAATGATGATGTTTTAGACAAGATAAGTGTTATTCATACTCAATTGGTGAGATAGGGACAAGATAGTATATACTGGTTTGCATCCTTTAGTGGGATATTCACTGTCCAATCTATATATGACCTTGCTAGAGGAACCGGTTTGAACGAGGATAAGGGCCGATGGGAGTGGATATGGAAGTTGTAGGCTCTGCCAAAAATTAAGTTTTTCATCTGGCAATGTATGCACTGTATCTTGCCTATACGTAATCAGCTTGCTAAAAGAGAGTTGAACGTCCCGACTACTTGTGTATTTTGCATGCATGACATGGAGGATTTGGCACACCTATTTTGTAATTGCTAGTGGACTAGAAACATATAAGCTACCTTGTGAGGAGCCTCTCTGCCTCTATCCCATCAAATCCTGGACTGTAGATAATGGATCAAATAAAATGCTTTGAACAAGCACCGATCCATACATGATATCCCTTAATACCTGTTGTTTATCCATACTTTATGAGAGGCTTGGCTTGAAAAGAATAGAAGGATTTTTAGACAGAATGGTGAGACCATTGACTTGGTGAAATTGGCGACTGTGAAGGTTACTAAATTCTTTGCGATGAAATAGAGAAGCGTTCAGGACAAGGTTTCAAATAACGGTTGTGTAACAGCATTGCGGTCACTATTTCACAGTTTTGGTAGCTTTCGCCATCGTTACATACCCGAAATTGGGCTGTGAATGGAATTCACAATCATAACGACTACTCGCAGCCATAAAATAACAATGTAGCGGACAATGGCGGCTATAACGGGATGCTATAGCTGCAATCATCATTTTCAGTTCAAAATGTAATTTGAAAACTTATTCTTTTTCGACAGTTACAGAATTTCATATAAAAAATCACATTCTAAACAAGAAAAACATTTAACTTTACAACTCAATTAGTAAATACAAACCTCGATAAAAAAATATGTTATTGAAGTCAATCAATAAGTACCTCAGACCTTAAGACTTAAGAAGAAGTAAAACATTTTTTAATTACCTAGATGGGAAAATGATAGGCTTGGGTTCAATAGTAGTGCCGCCAGTGGCTTGGGTTGAGGAAAAAGACAAAGATAGCGTGGATGAAACTTGGAAAAGGTTAGAGGATAGAGGAAGCATGAGATATGCCTGTAAGATTTTTAGGGAGAGTGAGCGATAGAACGTGATACAGAGAAATTTAATGGTGAAATTTGAAAAATGTACGGATGTGAGAAAAGTTTGGTAGGTTTGAGTTCAGCTAAGCAAATCAACCAATCATAATATTTTTATTTTTCTAACTTAAAATTTAGGTACATGTGATATTTAAAAGTACATTGTATTTTGCTTTTTTTTTTTTATTTAGGTGAAAATATAGAAAGGAAAAAGCAAATGATTTGGTGAGAAATTAGATATTTTAGAAAAAAATTTTATTGATTTTGATGAAAATTTAAGAAGAATGAGAGCTATTAATTAGTGAATTTATTTTTTTTACCGTCATTTTAAAGTAATTAGTAGTTTTTTATATAATTTTAATATTATTAATGTTATTGTTAATTGTATATTTTTATTAGTTAATAAAGATTAGTTTGCTACTATTATATTATTTTGGTTTAATTTAGTTATTTAAAATGTTGCACTTGAAAATTTGATCTAATAGTAAAGTATATTTATCCATAGTCAATCAGTTAGTTTTATCATCTTCTCCCAATAAACATATGTTATAAAAATATCTAAAATATTCATCACTAATTTTTTAATTAAATTAATTATAATCTTAATTAACTTCATATAAGATATATTTTTTCATCATATGTATTTATAATATTTATGTCTTTGCACTTTGTGCGTATAATAAAGAAAACATTTATAATATGCATTTTCATTCTAAATTATAACTACAAAACATGAGAAGATTATTTTAATTTATAAACAAAAATTAAAATATCATAAATTACTTTAAAAATTATAAGTATTAATTTTAATTATTATAATTATAATCACTATATTTTATAGTAAATTATGAAAAATTAAAAAAAAATTCACAACCTTGATGACCGTAATGATTTTCGTTATATATGCAATCGTAATAAATACAATGCGATCGAAAACGTGTCTGCGATCACAATTTGAATCCTTGATTCGGGCTTTGTTGTAATCCTTTATGCCTATCAGTTAGAACCTTTCAATGACGGATGTATAAATTAAACACAGATGGCTCAGCATAAGGCAATCATGGGAAAGTAGGAGCTGGAACCATTATTCGATGGCTCAGCATTAGGCAACCCTGGGAAAGTAGGAGTTGGAACCATTATTCGAGATAGTGAAGGCAAATGGATTGCTGGTTCCTCTACATATATTGGGGTATGTTCAAATATTTTGGCTGAATTGTGGGTTTTTAGAGGTGGATTATTTTTGGCGAAAAGGCTTAACATTCGCAAGCTAAAAATTGAACTCAATGCCACAACTATTATCTCCATGTTTAAGGATCACCAAGTGACTAATCCCGTGTTACTCCATCTGATCTCTGATTGCAGGAAGTTGATGGAAGATTTTGAAAATCAACACATACTGTATGTGTTCAAAAAAAGGAATAGGTGTGTTGACGCCCTTATCCCGTTTGGTAATAACAATTGTTGTAATAGTTCTAGTTATTACGAGGTCAATTATGTGGTGTTTATTGAACCTCTTCTTTTATTAAAGATTTGGTCCAAACTGATGAAGCTAAACATATTATGTATCTTATGTATCGTACTATTTATAATTAAATAATTCCTGTTTCTTACCCAAAAAAAAAAAAATACAGGGTGGAAATCTGCTCTCACAATGCAACCGGTGCTTTAATAGCTATCACGATCTTGATTCTTCAGGTGGCGAATCATGGATACAAAGTAACTCTTTCCCCAACTTAACCATCCAAAAATTGCAAATCTGATTGATACGAATCCAGTAACAACGGATATAGGTACAGTTACGAAATCTAACAAAGATTTCACCATCAACACCGTTGAAGCTGCTAGAATTAGTTTAGTGGCCAAATAGGCTATATATATATATATATATATATATGTATAGTCATCATCTATCATTTACGTGTTGGTTTTCTAAAGTTTTGATTACCGTTGAGTTATTACCTGATCAGCAACAAAAAGTGAGCTAAGGCCATTGCCATGGCAGCTAGAAGTAAGCTGATTAGTTAACGAGATATTGTTTTAGATTCAGCTAAAACAAAAGTTTTATATGAAAAATCCAGGTATTATCAACAGCAACACCATTAGAATTTCTAGATTAGTATACAAATCCAAACTCTTATAATGCTAATAAAAACTAGCTCACCATCTTCGACGCCATGTATCACCTCTACTAACATATTTCACTCTTGATGCGGATCATTTGCCAGCATCAAACCAATTGATTTCCCCTTCTGTCCTCAGCAACAAAATGGAAATAAGCTTTTAATTTCAATGCTTGATTAACCAGCCATTTTCCAACAATGAATTTAGCTGCACGACTTAATTCAGAGACTCTAAATGTTGAAAACCATACTGATGGAAAAATGCCAGAGCTTAAAGGAATTTTTTTTTTTCTAGCTAAATTGAAGAAACTCAATGGTGCAAGGCAAAATCGATGAATCCTTCATTAGAACCTCCTCCACAACTCCTATTCACAAAACGATGATCAAGAAGCTCATCCACCGTACCTCTCTTTCTCCAAACAACTCCTCACTAGGCATCTAAAATCCGGTGAAGCCGTCTCAGGCATCTCCAACCTCTCCTCGAAACATATAGCACTCAACAAAGCAGCCCAATCAGGCTTTTCTGTGAGACCAATCAACGGATATTGACCCATAAAACATTCTAATACCACCACACCTAGGGACCAAATATCACCAGGAAAACCATCTGCATTGCCCCCATTCCATCTCCTGGATCAACCCTTTCAGGACTCATTTAAGCACATGTTCCCATGAACGTGTTACAGGCATTACGAGTGCCAACTACGATCTTACTCACTCCAAAATCAGCAATCTTCACTTCTCCTTTCCCATTTATCAATAGATTCCATGGTTTTATATCACCATGCACAATGTGCATTCATGCAGATATGCAATCCTAGTAAAACTCCCTGAAATAACATCTTCAGCAAATTCACCCTGACACAAAGTTCATCGTGCAAAGACCCTCTCTCCATGTGTTCCATAACAAAACAAAGCTCTCCTCCTATAGTATAAAATACTGCATGGCATTTAACAATGTATTGTGAATCTACCCTTTTCAGGATTTCAGCTTCACACGCCGCCGGATGCCGTATTATGGCAGTGTTTTGATCGAAACGAAGGACTTTTAACTGGTAAATGGATGAGCTTTTACGGTTCCTGACTTTATTGACGGTGCCTTCATTGCCATGGCCAATAACGATGAGTTTCTCAAGGTCATAGAGGCTTTCGATGTCTGGAGATGTCGGACCAATGGCTGAGAGCAACGCTACATAATAAGACCGTTGCCGGAAATAAGCTGTCGGTAATGGAGATGGTAGGGATAGACGGAGCCCCTGTTGATGCCTTCTCTCCCTAACTAGTGTCATTTACCTTTTTCTTCTCTGGTAATGTAATCATATAGTATAAAGTGAAAACATAGCAAATAATAGATCAATCTAACAGTCATAAATACATGAGATAGGATTGTGGGCTGTAACAATCCCATGATTCATGGGACTCTTGTCAGTTCTTGGACTGACGTGTTTTTTTAATCATATTAGTATTATATATTAATTCTCTGATAACAACATGCCAATTTTCATGGCTATATCGTTAAACACGTGATTCTAAAATTAAGATTTCAATTGCGAAAAAAGGAGAAAAGAGAAGCTATTAGATTGATTGAATTCTCTGATTTGAGCAATCTTTGATAACACCAGAGGTGTAAAGATGAAGATCAGTAGGGATGCAATTGGGGATGGCGGGGATAGAAGAATAACAATAACAAAAGCTAACAAGTAAGAAACAAGTCAGCTTCAACCTTCGAACTTCAGCTTTAGGTTCATTTGCGAGAAGTTTTAAGTCTTCGAAGTGTTTCATGGGCTCCCAAAAATGTGGACAAATCTTGTCGTAATATTGACTATTTTATGTGGATTTTTTTTTACTAAAAACAAAAAAGAAATAGTTTTCTTCAATTTTCTAACATATACCCGACACAACAATCAACTTTGCAGCTAATTTCAGATTGAGTTTTGGTCCACACTAATATCGTTCATTAGATAACAATTCACAGCCTGATAGCCGCACTGAAAAGAATGGTGATGGCAACGTCATTCACTCGTTCTTTTCATAGTAGAGGCAAAATAATTTCTTCATACTTCTTTTAACTTCTACTATCATGATTGTCGATTCATTATTGCTTCAATTTTGATTTGAGTCATTTGAGCAAAATGCCTCATAACTTGGCAAACAACCATCAGCCCTCTGGTATGCGTAGCATCACATGTCATTCTCCCCATCCAAGGATGCAATCATCCCAATCTCACCAACCTTAAACCTCCAGTTTCACTTTATCTTTAATAGTATCAGCCAGTAGATGTTGGTTTACCATACTCCGGTCCTACTGATGCCTAAACCTAGAAGGTAAGAGCAAGATATGACAATCTCAATTAGTTGAAACCAATATTCAATAACCACACACACACAAATACACATATTGGATTACAAATTCTTCACAGCACTTCCACATATCAAAGTAAATTTCTCAGAGTTGGAGGCCTTCATATAATTGTTTCATCAGGGATATCAAGTTGGAAGGCATCAAACTTGTTACAAAGGTTTTCTCATGTCAAGTAGCCTGCACGAAAAGTATAAATATAATGAAACAAGAATGAGCAGAATGAATTTTCAGAGTACGACATCCCTTTTAAAGCAAGTTATTCCTTCGAAATAATTGCAGCCGCCTAGAGAACAGCAGAAACCCATACCAAAGACTTTTTAAGTAAAAATAAGGATATATCTGACACCACCAATTACCAAACAGACAAGTTCTTTTGACTCGCAAAAGAAACGCGAAAGAAAAATTCCAGTTAGAAATAATAAAGAAGAAAGATTAGGTCTATTCATGTGAGAGTGCAAAACAAAGATAATGAAGGCATTAGTCGTTTTCCAATGGCTAAAATACAAGGACAAAGTGAATATAAAAGTCAATAACCATAAATTTCAGGTTTACCTCAAAACAATGTACATTTTGGTACAAAAGATTACAACCTCTCGTTATCTGATCTAAGAAGACCCATTTGTTCTGTAAGCTTATCCATATGCTGAGATTTGTCCCATCCATTGCCCATAGCCTGCCCTTCATTTCCCTCGCTTCTACCATCCTTTGAGGTTGATTCAATATCCTCAGGCACTGGACTTTGCACAAGAAGATCATCCCAGAAAGTAGAGCCATCCAGTAAGGCATCTATGTCAGGATCAGGAGCAATGTCATCAAGTTCAATGGGAACTGAACCATTTACAACCAATGTAGTGGGATCAATAAATCCACCATTCCCAGTTTCAGACCCCACATAATTTTCTGTAGGAATATCAACAATGCTTTCTGGGACCATTTCCGGTATTTGAGAAAGCTCAGGCAAAATTATATCTATCTGAGGAATGGACACAGATTGTGGCTTTTGTTCCCCAACAAGTGCACTCAAATCTGGAAATTGTGGTGTTGTGATCTTTTCAGAGGATGTCGTACGTGGTGAAGATTGTATTTCAGATATAGCAGCTGAGGGACAATGCCCTGAGATCCCTGAAGTTGCTGGTACAAATGTTGACTGCCCTGAAGTTGGCGGGACCTCTTGAAGAGTCACCCCTGATACACAGCTTGAAGAGTTCCCAACATCCAATCCACTAGATGATGACAAATCATCACCAATCAGGAAATTTTCAGGACTGTTATTAAAGGACTCCAGCTTGGGAGAAGCATCCCCTTTCATGATTTGCCTAAGCATTGCTTTTGCCTCATTCATCAAAGGCTGATATTTAACAATCTGTCCATCAGAGGTAGCGGAATGCTCATTATCAATGCTATCATCCTGCTTTAGCCTCCTTTTCTTGTTGGCTTCACTTATGCGCCTATTGCTCTCATTTTGCTGCTGCACAAATTGAGCCAAAAAGCCAGGGCTCTGCACAGCCTTCGCCAAGAATGACATCATCTGCTGCTGCCGCTGCTCCATCCCCTGAAGACGTTGCACCATGGTTTGCAGCTGGTTATCAGTAGCCTGTTGCTGCAGCCTTAACCTAACAAGTTCCTGCATAAGCACATTCTTGTCTCTCTTAAGCCTCTCAACCTCTTCCTCAAGCCCAAATTTCCCAACCTCAACACAGGCACCCACAGATAAATTCTGTCCATGTGATTGCTGTGTCTGCTGATGAACATGGCCATGGGCAGGCTTTCGCCGGCTAATGTTTCGAAGCAGGTGTTTCTGACCTCTTAAAAATCCTTCATTTGCAAATTCCCAGCGGTCTGGATCAATCTTTCGGAAACCCTGTCAAAACACAGGAAGAGCAAAAAATATGGAGAAAAAACAGATCACTCAGCAGAATTGTTATTGACAAAAATACAAAAATTTTTGTCAATAAGATGGTCCCAAGGAAATGATGCAAAAGAAAAAATAGTTCATGGATACAGACATCCATAAGTTAGAAGCATTGTAATCACTGATGAGCAGCTGCTTGACACTTGATTTGGAATTAGTTTAAAAAAATAAGCCCAAGCCTATTCTTTGAGCTTGTCTAGTAAACGATCCAAGACTGGGGACAATGGGCCCCACCACTAATCCCTACTCAGGGACAAACCTTATCAGGAAACCTCTGACATTGGCCTAAACTCAAAGTGAGCTCAGATATTTGACTCAATTAGAGAAATCTAATAGATGCACATACAAGCAACCTCAAGTAGGAGATGGCAGCTTGAGTCAACTAATTTCAATCATATTGAATCCCAAACTAAAAGTCACTTGAAATTTAATTTAAAAAAAAAAGGTTCTAACATTACTATAACTACCACATTTCAAATTTCAATTTTTACTGAAGGCTGAAGAAGAACTAATGAAAAATCACACATCTTCGAAGGTGTTTCTAGCTGCTGAAGAACAATATATTCATGTTATGCAAATCAGAAAATCTTGCAGACTGCAGGTTAAAACAGTACCACAAGAACTAACACAAAAGACCACAATGTGAGGAATCAGTCCAACCATGCTAATACAAGTTAACATAAAAGCATAACGCTAAGAAGTAACTAAACTAGGTATGAAGCAATTCACTGTCAATTAGAAGAAAAGTTTTAATGTCCATCATATGATCCCATTCTCCCTTAAAACACTAAAGCTTTCAAGGCGATGCCACAATAGCGGAAATCATACTTAGTTTCAGAATTCAGCAACAGCACACAGATCGTCTCAACTTCAGAATAATGGTGCAAGTATTAGAAATTAACACCATTTTATATAAATTTTCACTGTATCTTTTAAGTGAAAAAAGTATTTCCCACTGACACTTGTTGGTTGTTGCTTATTTCTTATCTCCATCCCACCAAAATGATAACTATCAATCAAGGCCAGTATTCAATGATTACATTTAAAAATACATGTATTTGATGTGACATCTACATCTTGAACATCCAAAAATATTGTTAAGACACTAATTAATAAACAAGCTGACCTGAATATATATTGATATAACGTTAAGGAATATTTAATGAAGAAAGTGATTTCATGCAACGTCCAAGCTACTAAGATGCCAAACTAACATATATCCCACTCCAAAGGAAATTTGTGCAGGATCATACGATAAACATAACGCAACACCCATGGTACTAAGATGCCAAAGTAATATATATCCCACTCCCAAGGAAATCTGTGGAGGAGCATGGGATAAACTACAATCAGATCTAACAATACTGTAAGATTTAACAATGAGATGAATATTTCCCAAACTACAGTCTACAAGCACCATTATTCTTGTTTTCCAACAAAGATACAAAATGCCCCCAACATAGCTCTTACATAACGAGAAAATATAGAAATATATAATCTGATTTCTAAATCTCATATTTATAGAATGACAAGCAGTTTCAAACACTAGGATCATGCATAAACAGAATAAAGTACGTATCTGTGATGTACATATACATAAAAAAATGCTTGTGAATACACATGCAATGTACATAATAAATATGCATACAGTTTGAGAATTGCACACGCAGCAGTACCAAAAATTTAACACAAACATTTCACTTATTGCCTAGTTCTTCCACTATCTTAAAGAGTTATGGCAGAATGATTCATTAAAAGAAATTTTAACTAAGAACTTAGAATACTGATGATGTCATTTTCCAAGAGTAGATGTGTTTTTGCAAGTAAATTACTTAAATGTTAGCCTCAGTCAAGTGAACACTGGATTGCTGTTGCAGAAAAATAAGTATAAAGTGCATGATTACCGATCAAGAATGAACTATTTTCCAACCACACAACTTTCAACTGAGCTACGCTGTCCAACAAGAACAGTGTGACTACATATAATGAAAAGTTGATGCCCTGCACCGTTATTTAAAATCTTTCCCTCACAACACAAACACAAAAAACTTATTGTTTGGTCACTCATACATGCAACAAGTTCGTTAATTTTTGCCGTTTATTCCCCTTAACCTCAAATAAATTAAACTATATTTCAGTCTAAAAGACAAAAATTCTACCTCTGCAATTTTGAGACCTAAATCCACAGTGATAAAAGCATAATCCCTGAGAAAAAGCCTAGCAGCCAGATTTCTTAAAATCTGCCTAGTTTAAACACATATAAGGGACAAGTCTGAATGCATGCATAATATGTCTGTGCTGTGTGTATGATCTTGATCCAAAAATATCGGATATATCCAATTTTATGATGGATTATTGGGATCAGAACTGGTTGATTATCTAAGTGAGACATTCATATGCACCACTATCTACATCTAATATTAAATGTCCTTCAGGTATGTGCCATTTAAACCAGTAACAACAAACAAAGACAAATACAAGTAACCATCCTAAGATAAGCTTGTGACAACGTCATGAAAAGCATGTGACCTGCTTTCTTTCTTCAATTTCTTCTTTCTGCTCCATTTAGTTGCTGAGAAAATCCAGGAAGAAGCACAATTAAAACATTAAATCACACAATTCCATGACTTGGGAGAAAACAGAACAAAGCCATCAAATCCCCAATATAAACATCACAATTAGTTGAGACAGGATCCTGATCCTGTTTTTCAAAACCCAAGCAACTAAAACAATAATGCTATAACTTATCATATATTTTCATAATTCTTGACAAACATCCATCTTATAACAAAATCAAAAGGCTAGTGAGAGTTTAACTGATTCCTTCAAAACCCTAGCTGGCTAACTCAAGCGCTAGCCTAAAGCCTAACCTAAAGCACTGATTTGCTGCTACCACACAATCATATATTCTTAAACCTGTTCCTCTAAATTTAATTTGATGTAAACTATTTCTAAAACTTATCCTATATGGTTTTTGTTTTCCTAAATCTTCTCAGCAACCACAAAATACTTTTATTCCAGCCAATCACTTCCAAAACAATTAACTCAATTTGGAACAATTTCACATCCGCAATAAACCCTAATCATCAACAAGGAAATCAAATATTTCACAAGTCAAACACAAAGAAATAATAGCAATGAACACTTTTCCAATTTTTCTAGTTAAGGTAAGTGGAAACTCTAATTAAAGTAACTATAAAAGTTAAAATAATAAAGCAGAATAATAAAGCGAAAGGTAAAAGAAATAACAAAAAGGAAAAGTGCTGACATAGGTGTTTAGTTGCCTGACGAAGCTCGAGAAGTTGTTGTGCTTGAAATACTTGGGCAAAAGATCCCGTGCGAACTCCGGCGGGTTCCAAACAACGAAGCTATTGTTGGTTGGGCTCCAAGAAACGATGGCATCGGTGGCGGGATCATCCACCATATCGTAGGTCTTGCTCAGGAATGGCGGTGGCGCGTTAGCACTCTGCATCGCCACCGGGTTCGGCGTTGGTTGAGGTTGTGCCGCCGTTTGAGCTCCGCCGCCGGTCGTCGATGCATCGTTTTGGATGGTGGTACTGCTATTCACTCCATCCATTCCACTTCACTGATTCTTTACAATTAAAGAAATAATAAACGAATAAAATAAAACTGTAAAAGGAGGCGTTCTAGGGTTTTGAGGGACGGTTAATTTGCGCCATTGGAGAGGTTTGCGGATTTTTAGGGATTTTGAAAATGAGAAAGGAACAAGACAGAGAGAGTGTGTAGTGAGAGATGAGAAACAGACAGGTGGCGGTAATGCCAAGGGAGAGAGAGCGGTGTTTCAAGGGGAGATTATGGTGAGGGGAAACCGGCACGATGCGGTTTTCGTGTTTTGGGTTTTGGGAGGGCGTGCGGCTTTTTTTGGGGGGAGAGAGAGAGGGATGGAGACTGACGTCCGAAATGACGTCTTAAAATGACTTGATTCATTAAATATTTCACTTTACAAAAACAAATTTATAAAAAAATATTTTAAAAAAAAACCATCATTTAATTTATCATAATTCTTTATTTTTTAAAAATTAAAAATAAAGGAAATTATCTTATTTTTAAAGATAAAGTTGAGTTGTTAACTCATAAAAGAATTTATAAAATTTTTTTTATTTTTAAAAATTTTTAAATTTACAAATTATCTATTAATAAAAAATCATAAAAATTCAAACTTAAATACTTTAAATTTAAATTTTAAATCTTAATTATTGTGCCAATTCCTCCCATCATTTTGTTGATATAAAATTGTTGTTCTATCTATGATTCTGTTATATTTGCTAATAAACATAAATAAATTTTCATTTAAATTTTTTATGAGAAATTTTTAATTTATGTTTATTAAAGATTAAACATTCACGTTCAATTCAATGCATTACAAAACAGAAACAGACACAGCCCCGCCCTTTTCAGTGACATAGTAAAAAAGACTACTTTGAGGGCAAACTTACGTCATAGAAAATGACTCTCATTTTCATTTGATCAGTTTAAACCTTTCTCGTCGTTAGGGAAGGTAAAAAAATTCGTAACTGACGGGTTTCGATTCGATTTAATTTTTTAGAATCAATTTTTTTTATTAAAAATTGGGGGTCGAGTCGGATAACATGAAGATAAAGTTGAGGTCGGATTTTAGGTAAATCCGATCCTACTCGATTCGATATATATAAATAATTTTTTTAATTAATTTTTTAATTATATATATATATTTATATAATGATATTTTTAAATATTTATATTTAAAAAATAATATTTTATTAATTTCGAGTTAGAATAAGTCGGGTATTGTTTATATAGTGTCGGATCGAGTTTGAATTTGGGTATGAAAAAATAAAAAAATTTCAGATAGGATCGGGTTCGAATTTTTTAAGCATTAAATCGGATCGGATTTGGGGCGAGCAAAACTCGTCCCGAACCCGATCCGATGCCATCCCTACTCGTCACCAACATTTTGTAGATACAGTGGTCGAATTATTGGAGCACGGTGTCGTTTTGATCGTGGAGGATACCAGTTGTCTTGAAGCCAAAGTTTATATTGAGTTCTTTGTGAAGCTTGAGGTAGACGAATACACCGTCAATAATTCGTAGGACTGTCCTACAAGTTTTGCATTTGAAATTGGAGGTGTCAGCGATCTATCATGTTTCTAGCAGTGCATTTCAATATGCTAGCAAAGCTGACTCTTTAGTTGTTCTTAATTTAGGTGAAGGTAAAATATGGTTCTAAATTGTAATTTTCGGTGATAACTAAATGTTATGATTGTCCATGGTATTGGACCGGCTGCCCATGCCCACGGAAAAAATGGGCTAAGTTAGTTTCGTAATTGGCCCAAAATGATCGGGGGATGGATGGGAGCTGAATTTCGAAAAAAAAATAAAATAAAATTTAGGGATCAGTTCAAGGGAATTGAACCCGACGTGAATCGAACACGCAACCTTCTGATCTGGAGTCAGACGCGCTACCATTGCGCCACGGATCCCGTTTGTTAATCGACCCCTATGCCTAATTTAGACCGTAGAAACTAAATCAAATAGCAACAAATTATGATAATAATGTCAGTAATATAAGGAAACTTAAAATTTAGTTCTTACGACATAATTCATAAAAATATGATATTTGTACTAGTTTAATTTGATAATATTAATCTAATTATTAATTCTATCAAATTTTTTATAATCATGATCACATTATTAATTGAATTAACATTAACAAATTCAACTTGTACAAGAGATTTTATAAATTATACTAGAGGACTAAAATTCAAATTTCCTGTGATTGAAGAAATAATTTGAAAATTTGACATACAATTTCATTTATCTATATATGCTGGCACAAAATCAATATCTCATTGGTAAGATCAACATTTACATCATCAAGTCCAAGATCGGGTTAGTATTTTTATCAGCAAAAGTTTGACTGGATTAATGATTAGACTAAAATTACGAAATCAAAATAATATGAAAACTAAGTAACCTTATTAAAAACTTACTGACAACAACATAAACAGATTAGCAAGAGCAAGTGTTACTATTACATATTGCAAAATGCAAGGTACTTGAAGATTTAAAATCTGGGATTTACATCTTCGCTTGACACAATGCTTATGAATTGGATGTGCGGGCAACATTTATTCCTCCAAAACCCTCTGAAAACATTGTTTTCTTCCCTCAACTTCTTCTACCAATTTATTTGATCTCCAGGCAGCAGGTTGATCAATGCTATGGAAATGGAATGGATTGTTATCCCACCAGATCAGATAAGTACCAGCTGGCTTAAGGCCTTCAGGTCATTCCCATTGTTTATTTGCACTACTATTACTCCTGCGCTGCCAAGAATATCGCTATTAAAGTGAAAATCGACAAAGCCTGAGGGGCCATAGTATACATTGGGAAATTTCCATTATTTTTAATAATATTAAGCTTCAATTTGAACGTGCCATTCACGACCATAGATATATTCAGCTTCTGCAAAAGTAATAAGGCACATGTATCACATATAACCATACAGATAGAAAGAGAGGGAGAATTACATCTCAGGCAAATAGTCCACCCTACCAAGCAACATGTCAATGCTATAATCAGAGAAAATTGTAGCAAAAGAAGTGTTTACCCAATGGTGAACCAGTAAAATGCAGTGCACACGCCTTCGGAACTTAGCTGATTGCTCTTGATTCAAATAAATCTTTGCTGGCCACCCTTGTCTGATTAATGTGTTTTGACGGCCAACATATTCCCTGTTACCTTTTACCAAGAAGTGGAAAGAATACAAAAATAAAGCATGTAGTAAAAGAAATCAACCAGCAACTCGATAGCATTCCTTTCCCAAAACCTTTTCAACAGAATTAAAGTTCCAAAAACACAAACTAAAATACTTTATTTCTTCTGATTGAGTGCTACATAAAATTACTAGCAATAAATTTACTAAAGTCATGTTTTAGTCATACCTCACGCATGGTACCGGGTCACTTTCATCCTGGCCTTTTGGAGAATCTGCAAAGGGCCACTCTTGACGAGCATTTAGCCACAGAAGCTGCAGCCTGTGTAGCTGAATAAGAAATTTCCCGCAATACTTGTTAAATTTGCCTATAAATTGACTAGCAATATGAAATCCATTCACATAGAAAAGCTTCGACCAGCATCATGGACACATAATTGAGCCAAAGAAGTCTTTCATGTGCCAGGAGGACCATGAAGTAGTGCTCCGTTTGTGGTTCACAAACCAAAACAGTAATATAACAACAGTTATCAACACTTAACCTGCATTATGTGAAACAAAAAATCAAATCAAATCAAAAGTGAATCTGCATATATGTATTACAAAAACACATTATCATAAAAAAAGATAACCAAATGATACTTGCAAGCTCTATTGTGATTTCTATATCATAAACGAAGTAACCAAAATGATACTTGCAAGTTTTGTGATTTCTATCACTAATAACAAATCATTCTCTTGCTCTTATAAAAGATAATTTTATCACACTATCAAAGAAAATTTGAGATGCATTCCGTTCTCTCCAAGAAATTTTGTAAAATTGAAAAATTTTCAGATAATATTATAATGATAAGGAGTCAGTAACTTACTGTCCCGTTCTTTCATCATTTCCTCATTTTTCTATTTGTATGTAGCCACCCCAAAATCCACCCCCAATCTACTATAGGCAACATCATCTAGCAAAATACCCTTCCTTTTCATTTCAGCTAACAACTCATGTGCTCTATCAATATTGCCAAGTCTCTGGTACCCAGCAATTAGGGCAGTATAAGTCACCACATCAGGATTGATTTCCCGTCTTTTCATTTCAGCAATTAACAAGTTGGCCATATCCATTCTGTGTACATGGCAAAATCCATCAATTAGACAGGTGTAGGTGACAACATTGGGTGAATAACCTCTTTGCTGCATCTCTGTATAAAAAGCCCAAGCCTTCCTCATATCCCTTACTCTACAAAACCCAAATATAACAGACGTGTAAGAAATGGTATCAGGAATCAAACCCCTTTCTATCATGTCCTTAAACAAACTGCATGCTTCATCCATTTTGCTCCTATGGCAGAATATGTTGATAAGAATTGTATATGTAACAGTGGTTGGTGTGACCCCAAGCTTTAACATTCTTGTGTACAACATCAAGGCCTTCTTTGGGTTCGACTGTTTAGCAAATCCATCTATAAGAATGCTATAATGGACATTATGAAGAATATTCTTCTTAAGCATTAGAGGAAGAAGTTCCCAAGCTTTTTCTGAATTGCAATGCATAGAAAGCCTCTTAATAATTTCATTATATGTATACGAGTTAGGAAAAATGCCAAACTCATGCATTTCATTTATAAGTTTCAAAGCTTCCTCCAAATGGCCTGCAGTGCAATACCCATCAACAATTACATTGAAAGTGAAGATATTAGGTGAGACACCACTTTGCAGCATGATGCTGAAAAGTTCCAAGGCTTTATCCAAAAGGCCCATCTTACAGAACCCATGAATCAACCTGTTGAAACTGTTGGCAGTAGGAATTAAGCTATTGTTGATCATCTCCTTAAAAAGTTCCATGGCAGAATCCAGATCACCTTCAAGACAAAATCCCTTGAGCAAGACACTGTAAGCAGCCGTGTCATATTCATATCCAGCAGTGCCAAGATTACAGAACAAACTCAGTGCAACATCTGCCAATCCGCTCTTACAAAGACCATCAAAGAGTGAGGTATAACTAACAAGTGAAGGCTTCATGTCATTTAGTATCATCTCGTAAATCAAATTGAGACCTTTGTCGCAATCACCTCTTTTACAAAACCCATCAATCAAAATGCTGTAGCTATGAATATCTGGTGATATTCCACAATTCTTCATTTCTTCCAAAACCTTCAAAGCTTCATACGGTTCACCTTTTTGGCAAAACCTGTAAATAACAGCATTATAACAGAAACTATTGATAGGTTGATTTCTAAATCTCAAAACCCTAATGAAATCTAGAGCAAATTCAACAAAACCTACTCTACAAACTCCATGAATATATGTGCTGTATGTTACAACAGATGGATTTATCCCATCTCTCTCCATATCCTCTAGAAGTTTAGTTGTTTGTCTGATATCTACATCCCCACCATGATATCCTTTACAATAAAAGTTCATCATAATCGTATAGGTGTAAACATTAGGTGATGGCCCAGAGTTCTTCATATCTTCAAACAAACTTTTCACAAATTCTCCTCTATTTGCTTCTACCAAACACTTGAGCAAGAAGTTGCATGACATAATATTTAGTTCGAGCCCCATTTTTTTAGCCTGCACAAAGACATCAACACCATTCTCAAGCATCGAATTGGATGCAAAAACCTTGATGAGAACATTGAAAACTTCAACTGATCTATGGACATGCTCCGGTGAATCCAACAAATATGGTAATAATTCGAAAATATCACTCTTAACTTCTTGGTAATAGCAAACAATATCTCTAAGCAAAGCATGTGCTTCCATCTGCATCCCAGCCATAGCAAATATATGAATGATGATCCGAAACGCATACATTGAATGATCAAACCCATACATCTTTACAGCCTCATTAAACCTAATTTTCTTTGCAATGCCCCAATTCAACGATTTAAATACACTCACAACAAACCGAAAATGCCCGAGGTTTCTACAAAACTTGAACCTCTTCCTTGGAGCTTGAAGCTCTCCAACTTCATCAGAACCACTTTCATCCTTAGGATTGCAATCAAAGACATTGTCTTCCAACAACAATGCAGATGAAGCAGAATAATATACTCTTAAAAGACATCTCTTGTAGTGAACAACTACCTCTCGAAGCAAACCAGATTGAACAAAACATATTCTTGAATAAGAACAAAAACCCATTAACAACCATATTGAAATTCACCAATATTCCACCATGGGAGCCTCTTGAGTTCCATGCTTTGGAGGACAAAAACAGTAATAACTTTAAACACCCACTAATATGTTATCAACAATGAAAGAATCGTGCTTGAGGGAATCGCAATTAAAAATCTACATGTATTCAAAAGAATCGAAATAAGAATATGAAGACATATGTACTATCAAGTTAGTAAGAAGTGAAGCTGAAAGTACCTGAATACAAGATAAGTTGTTTTGAGCCAAAAGAGAAATAAGTAGGAGAGTGGTTTGAAAAGGGAGGGTTTTTAATTTTCTTAGGAGTTGGGAGGTTGAAACAGCCACCGCCTTGTCGGTTCAAAGAGGTGTCCTGTGCTTTGAGGCTGGAGCTTAAAACTGCCTGTCTGAGTTTCTTTTGTCTGCCCGCTTGCCATGTTCTCTTTTTAGCTAGGCATAAACCTAATTATTTTACCAATAGAAAAATAAATTGCATGATTTATTATCCTTAATTGAATTCATAACTTAATTTAATTAATTTATGTAATTATTTTTAAAAGTAATATTAAATAAATTTAAATTGAAAATATTAATATTAATATTTTTATTTTTAAATTACAATATTTTATTAAAAATTTTTAAAAAATACATTAAAAATATATAGTAATAATATTTTAAAAATTTTATAAATAAATTAATTTTAAGCAGAAAAGGATTATTTAAAAATAAATAAATAAAGAAGCAAGGAAGTTGGGGCAGGCGGTTCATTCCGCAACGGCCCACAATGCAGCCCTATAGCATAATATATTGAGAATAAATATTACGTACACAAAAAGTCATTATTTTATTTTATTATGGAAAATAACTGTTAGAAGTTATTTTATATATATATATATATATAGTCTTTGTCATTTTTAAATTAATAAAAAAAATGAAAAGAGGAAATGCATTTCTTTTATTGATATATGCTATATTCCTTCGATTTAAAATATTTGTCATATATTATTTTTTATGAAATTAAAATTTTTAATTTAAATGTATTTAATATTAAAATTTTTATTTATTTTATAAAATTAAAATTTCTTAATTTTTAATATGAAAAAGTAAAAAAAATCATAAAAACAATTCTAAAATATAAAAATAAAATTTTAGATGTTAAAAAAGAAGATATAATTTTGAAACATTAAAAAAATAAAAAAAAAGGTAGAGAAAATATTATAATCAAGGCTCATTAGATGGGTTGCCTCTACGGGTACCTTAGAAGTTGATTTTTGATAAACTTATCGACATATTAATTGCATAAATGATTAATTTATCTGATTATATTCAAACAAGATGCTTCATCATATATCACATTATAAGAACTTTTAATTATGATTCTAATAGTTTATAACCCTCTTATCAAACTAGATTTGATACCAAGCAAATAAAAACTGCGTAGAGTCAAAACTTGTTATGAGAGATGGCCTTCATGGGTACCTTAGAAGTTAGTTTTCGATAAACCTCTTGATTTATCAATAACACAGGTGGCTAACCTATTTGGTAATGTCAGAGTAAGACGGTAATTATCAAGAGATATAATCTGGGCCAAATGTGGGCTAAGGTTTTGTCACATTAATTTTCTTGCTTCTAACATATTTTATTTTGGGCCAAAAAAGCCTGATAAAGAAAAACCTGGATCAAAGATCCGCAATTGAGATCCGACTTGTATTCGGACAAGGTCAGCTCCCAAACAGTCCTTGAATTCACCCCAACTTGAATTCAAAAGCCCCTATATAATGCCGTCTCCTCTTCAAGAAAGCGCCGCCCTACGCCAAGCAGCCACTTCAACCTCCGCCATGAGAAGAACAAGAAGAGAATCAAGCCAAGGCCGCCGCCACCGCCACCACCACAACACCGACGATACCTGGTCGGTGAAGCGTCTTCATGATACTCCTAAACAACCACAAGACAATCCCCAGCAACAACAAGAGGAATCGAATCTTAGTTGTCCTTCAACCTCATCCATTTCTAATCAACAACAATTCCCCGATTTTACCCCAAACCCCCCCAAAACTCATCGAAATCCTAACTGGAAATACCGGCGTGGCCGCGTTGCAAAACCCCGATTCGTTAAAAAATCCGAGCTCCCTTCTTCTAAATCTGATCTTAGTTCTGAGGATAGTAAAGCGAGTTTGAGTGTAGTTGAAGAAGTAAATAGGGACAAAGAAGAAAACAAAGGAAGCGAGATTTTGGAGTCAAAGATTGAAGAGAATGTAGAGGGAATTGAAGGTGATGAATCACAAAGCGATGATGATGATGTAGTTAGTAGGTTAGAGGAGCTGCGGTTAAGGGTGGAAGAACCCGAATTGTCAGAGGAACAGCTGAGAATCAATGATCAGTTGCAGGAGGACGAGGTAATTCTTCGAATTTAGATTTCTATTTTGTTTATTCAATTATTATTTAGACCCAGGCATGTAAGTTAGTTATTGATTAAGGATGATGTTGAACTTAGCTTAGCTTTTTAAAAGTCATATCGTTGAAAACAATGTGATGGAACCTCATTGAAAGCATTGTTGTCCTAATACCAACCCGAAATCCATGTCAACGGAATGCGATGATGTTAAAATTTTTTATCTTTAAACTTCTAACCATTAAAAAGAGTTCCTTTTCATCTTTTTCCATATCTGATTCATTTTCCTTTTTTAGTTACTTGTAATGGAGTCTATTTTTGGAGAAAATGTCTTCATCCTTGACAGACAGATGGGCTTACGATCCTTGAAGGTTATGTTTTTGGCCTTTAAGTTCACTTTTTGTTTTGCTAGCTATAACCAAGTGAGGAAGCTGATACCTTTGTGTTATTTTACAGATTCATATTCATCTTGAAGGCAGTGGAGACACTATTATAACGACAAAGCTAAATTCATCTAATGATATTGGTGTAAAGAGTGAGACTTCGGATGACTTTTCATACTCATTCAAAGTCCAATATCTCCCACCAATTGTGTTGACCTGTTTACTACCTAGATCATACCCCAGCCATCTTCCTCCTTATTTTACCATCTCTGTTCAGTGGTTGCATTCAGCTAGAATTTCCGATCTTTGCAGTCGGCTAGACTCAATATGGAAGGAGAAAGAAGGGCAGGAAGTCATATACCAATGGGCCGAATGGCTACAAAATTTGTCTCTTTCTTACCTTGGATTTGATAAAGAAATAATGCTTGGTCCTTATGGCATTGAGAATACTAGAGAAAGGCGTGCAGTTTCCGGAAGTGTCTCTCCTGAGATTGATGTTCCATTTATTAGGAGTTACAATGATGAGAAATTCCATGAGAACTTCCTCAAAAGCTTGCATGAATGTTCAATCTGTTTTAGTGAGTATGCAGGTAAATGTATGTTTGTTAATTAATTTTTGCTATCTTGAGCATTTCCTTTTTGTGAATTTTTTTGGGGTCTCCTTTGTGCTTTACCAGAGAAGCAGAAGAATGTAGGGAATGATGGACATGACTCAAAAAGAAGCTAAGGCTTTAATCATGAATGTCGTGATCTTTAAGTGTCTCATCTTTTAGATGATTTTATTTGTATGCTATGGTTGATAAACATGGTGGATTCTAAGTATCAATAATATCGTTTTCGATTAATGATTCTTCCACTATCATAAGTTGGAGAAATCACATTAATTATACTAGGGAAACATGCATATTACGCTGGGTTTCCTTGGTTTGAATTGAAGATAAAATAATATTAGGAATTAGGATGCAGAAATTTGCTTAAAGAGTTTAGGATGATGCTTTATGGCTCAGGGAATGTTGGACTTTTGGTGGTAGGATTTGAATATGGATTGCTAATTAGCTATTAAGCACGTGTTCTATGTATATTTAGTTAAAAAAATTAAAATAATTTTTTATTTTTGACTTTTAATATGAAGATAATGTTGTGCACTCTATTCTGATCAATGATCATTAAGTTTTTATTATTTTGGTCCTATGTTTAAACCTTGCTCTGTGTTTTTTTTCTTTTTTTAACTAGGAACTGACTTTATCAGACTGCCATGCCAGCATTTCTTCTGCTGGAAGTGCATGAAAACTTATTCTGACATGCATATCACTGAAGGCACTGTAAGCAAGTTGCAATGTCCTGAAGCTAAATGTGGGGGCATGGTCCCTCCTGGTTTGTTGAAACGATTGCTTGGTGATGAAGGGTATGAACGTTGGGAGTCCATTATGCTACAGAAAACACTTGAATCAATGTCTGATGTTGCATATTGCCCAAGATGTGAAACACCTTGCATAGAGGATGAAGATCAACATGCACAATGCTCCAAGTGCTTCTTTAGCTTTTGTACACTTTGTAGGGAGCGCCGTCATGTAGGCATAGCATGTATGACACCAGAAATGAAGCTTCTTGTCTTGCAGGTATCTTCTCTGTCATTTTCTTCTGTGGTTTTTATATCTATTCATGTCTTCTGGGACAGGCTTATTATTTCTTTAAAGTAGGATTTAGTCAGCCATTGTTCAGATATTTTCCTAGTAAATTGTAAAACTTGCAATAGTTTTACAAAAATTTAGTTAAACATGATGAGATCATGAATGTGTTAGAGCCTTTAAAGGTTAATAGGATGGTTCTTGCATATAGCTTTATCTTTGATTCATTGAAAAAAATTAGATCAATATTTGTCTTCTTCGTGGCTGTTCTCATGTTCCTTCATTGCTTGCATAAATTTTCAGCATTTTCCTTTTATGACCTCCTACTTCCTCTATTATAGAAACTTCTTTTCATCATTCATGGAATTAATGTTGTTGACAGGAGCGCCAAAATTCATCTAAATTGAATCAAGAGCAAAAGCTGAGGGAGCGTGAGATGATCAATGAACTTCTTAGCATTAAGGAAATAATGCGTGATTCCAAGCAATGTCCATCTTGTAAGATGGCAATCTCAAGAACTGAGGGATGTAACAAGATGGTATGTGAGAACTGCGGCCAGTATTTCTGCTACCGCTGTAACAGTGCCATTGATGGATATGACCATTTCAGGTATGCAACTTCCAAAATTTCCTGACTAAGTCTTTATCAATGGCTTGCTTCAACTTGAATGTGCAATGTCAGTATTTAGGTAATAAGATTTTGCCTTTTTGTGCTTATTGAAGGGATGGGGCTTGTGAGTTGTTCCCACAAGAAATGATACAGGACTGGGAGGAAAGGGTGAATGCACGCCAGGTATTAGGTCAGGTTCACGCACAACTCTTTGCTGACCATGGGCTGGCATGCCCTAACTGTCGTCAGTTCAACGCAAAGGTGAGAAAAGTTGTTTGATTTGTTGGAATTTTCCTCATCCTAACCTATGTATTCCTTTTATCTTCTAATGTTACCTAATGAAAACTAGCTAGATGCCAGTGAAGTATAAATGTCATGTTATAGCATGCATCCTGATTTAAAATAACAGTTTCAGCAAATGATACTTTTACACTAGTTATGTCCACCAGTCCTGCCTTTCCTTTGGATATGTTGTGTTCTCAAGTAAGGTCATTCATATGTAATATAGTTGAAAGCATAACAAAAGTTTCTTCGATTGGCAAACTGGAGTCTGTTGGCATTGTTATGTTGATCTATATTTGTTTCAGTTTGCTCCACATATTGACTGTTTTGCATGTTTTCCTCATTTTTTTTACATTAACAGGTAGGCAACAACAATCATATTTTCTGCTGGGCATGCCAAATGCACTATTGTTACTTGTGCAAAAAAATTGTAAGGCGCAGCTCTCAACATTATGGACCCAAGGGTTGCAAGCAGCACACTGAGGGATAGTAACAAATACCATTGGACCAAACGAATTGAAAATGCAATTGATAATCTTCCAAGGGCAAGGAAATAGTGTGGGCCACTTGTTCTTGGGTACTGTAAATCAGTATAATTTTATTCTTGGTATCAAAATTCAGAACTCCTTCCTGAAAATGGCCTTTTAATAATTCAGCTTCCAAATTGGATGCTTGCTGGCTGTGGACACAGTTGCGATTGTACATTTTTTCATCTGAGTAGTAGCAAATAAAATGAAAAAGTTTTGAATCTTCCCACCAGGTGCTGGCTGCCTAACACAGTTTTTTTTTTTTTTTTTTTTTTTTAATGTTTGGCATTTTATGTTTTCAATATTTATTAGCATTTAAAAACCCAAAATCACAAAAAATATTATTTGTTATGTTTTGATCCGAAATCTATGGAATATTTTGGGCTTGTAGGTTGGGTTTTTTGTTGCCGCACAGAAAATATAGCTGCTAGCATTATTTCATATACAAGTGTATGTTTCGTTTTCACCAAAATTAAAACACTGTCTTCTAATTTGTTAGCAGAGTTTTCACTTTTTAAATGCTACATGTAATACAAGTCCTGTGGGCTTTTATAAAGCACAGAAAAGAAAAATGGAACACCAAAAATAAAATAAAGTGTCCATATATGAAAGAGTTTGGAAGAATTATCAGATTTAGAATTGATAGTTAGATGTGATTATTTATGTATTTATATTATATAAAATATTAATAATTTATTATATTTATGTTATATTTTATATTATAATTTATATTGATATAAAAAGATATAAAATATATATTTTTTATTTTATTAAATTTTTAAAATATATTATTTTTATATTATATCATTATATCATTTGTATAATTGTATGCCTCCTAAACATAATCAAAATAATGTTCAAAGCAATAATTTTTTGCAAATGGCAACAAAATTGGTCCGACATGTGTTTGCAATAAATATAAAAAAGTTACATTTACTTTACTTTGGTCCGAGACATAACTTGATCGTACTTAAAAACCTTTTCAGTAAAAGTAAAAATATATATAAGTACACAAGTAATGGTACTATATTTATGTCTAACAAAAATTTGAATAACTCGAATCGTTTTAATAAAAAAAATTGTACAAAAATATTGGACGCATGCTATTGTACAGGCTTCTTTTTGACCCATAAAATATTTTTGCCGTTGACGGTTGATGGCAAAGGCAATGGGCCTGGCACGGGACAAAGCCAATGTCAATCGCCATTTTCGCTTTTGGATTTGACAAAAGCGGGGACAAGACAACTACATGATGCGAAAAAGTTTGAGTGATGCAATCTTACTTCTTTACATGGCGTGTGTATACCACTCTGCATTTTGGTTGCTTCAAAGTGCTTTCACCAATTGCACGTCTCACCGGATATATATATATATATATATATATGATATATTAATATTAATAAATTATTTAAATTTAATTTAAATAAAATTTAAATTTAATTTGATTATTATTGAATCGAATTTGAACTCGAATAATTCGATTCATCGATCGAGTCAAATTTAAATATTTTTATATTTAGTTCAAATAACTTGTAAGTCTAATCAAATTTTTATATTTAAATTTATTTTTATTATTTTAATTAATAAAATATCTTAAATTCGAACTCGAATTCGAGCATAAATAATCGAGTTTTTATCGAATATAAGAATTTAACTTATTTTTATATATTAATTGAGTCTAATCAAACGAATTTGAGTATTTGATTTTTATCTTAAATCGAGTTTTAACTAAAAAAATAAATTTCTATCCAATTCAAACCGAATATCTAACCTCGAATTTCAAATCGAATTTGAGTTTGATATTTATCAACTTGAACTCGATCAACTATTCTTCGGCTTCCCACAAAATGTATGTCGACTTCTGCACATGAATCATTGAACATACATTAGACAATAGTAACATACAAGTGTTTATAAAATAATGTTGAGATAATTAGTAGTAAGGTTGAAACTAAACCCTCTAGTCAAAAGGTTTAGTATTTAATAACATAAGTTACGAAGATATAACAATTTTAAAGTGGCTAATGTAATAATTATCTTATTAATTAAAGTGTTAATGCTTTGAGGTAAGGTATTATGAGTTATAAGGAGTGGTTGAAATTAGAGTATAAATGATATATTAATATTCGTAAGTTATTCGGGTTCAATTCGAATAAAATTTAAATTTGATTCGATTATTATCAAGTCGAGCTCGATTTCGAGTAGCTCGACTTATCGATCAAGTCGAATTCGAATATTTTTATATCTAACTCGAGTAGCTTATGAGTCTAATCAAACTTTTATAGTTAAATATTTTTTATTATTTTAATTAATAAAATATCTTAAATTCGAATTCGAGTTCAAGTATAAATAATTAAACTCTTGTTGAATTTAAGAATCGAACTTATTTTTACATATTAATCAAGTTGAATCGAATGAGTTCGAGTCACTTAATTTCTATCACGAATCAAGTTTGAGTTAAAAAATAAAATTCGATCAAATTTAAATTAAGTATTGAGTCATAAATTAAAAGTCAAATTCAAACTCAAATTTCTCGTTATATCTATTTGATTCGATTTAATTATACCTGTAGTTGAAGCATACCCTTGTCTAATTTTTATCATTGATTTATGTTGCATGATAATGTTTTTTATTGCAACTTAAAAAAATTAAGTATTAAAAGGAAAGTGGGCGCCTGGGCGGGGAGGATCTTGAATGTTTGGTGCGTGTACAACACGTGCTCTAGTGTGTGTTGAGTGAGCGCACACTGCCATCATTTTCAGGAGTTTGAGTTAGGTATGGGCTTAAGAGGAGTTAATCTGAGTTTAACTGAAGCTAACCATGGTTAAAGTTAAAGACACTGTTACAGTTTGTTGTTGGATTTCATTGTTTTGTATTCTTCTGGCCATCACTTTATCACTCAACCACAAACAGCACACCACTCACACTCAAAGCTTTGAGAAAGAGAGAGAAATAAAGAATCAAATGCTTTGTACAAAGACATCCCATTTGCTGTTTCACATATAAAAAAAGAAAAAAAATCCAACGAATGAGACTTTGTATAAACTAAAAAACAAAGCCAAAGGCCATTAATTGATGTAGGCTAGTCACAGAGAGGAAGGAGTAGGAGTAGGAGGAGAATCTTTTGTTGCTGTCTTAGTTCATTCTCATAACCTTCAAGCTAAGTTCAAGGTAAGTTCTTTCTCCTCATCTTCATCGCTCCAATAATGGTTTTTTTTTCTCCCTTTCTTTCTTGGTCTCCATCTTCTTATTGCATGCTACTATCTGCTCTACTTTTTACTTGACTTCCCACTGACTTGGTTCCTTTAATCCTTGCTCCTTTTTAGACTCCTAATTTGCTTCTTTCTCTCCTTCTCCATGACCATGTATAAAGTTTTAATTTTTATTGATTTGAAGATGGGTTGATCATACATTTTGATGTTTTTCAATTTCCAGTTTTGATTAGCCTTGCTATGTGTTAGTTGGTTATCGGGATTTGATGCTGATTAGAATCTAGAGGTAAATTGTCCCTCATAGATCAGAAACATGTCTGATTTAGCTTTTGGGTATGTGATTTCTAATATGTTAATAAGTATCCTGGTGTCTTGGTTCTTTTTGGGGTTCTGATTAAACCGGTGTCGGTTGTAACTTGTAAGATGCCTTTTAGTTTAGAAAAGTGCCAAAGCCCTTCTTAGTGATGTCTTCTCAAATTTGAAAATTGTTTGGGATTTGCATATCTTAAGAATTAAATGTCACTTCTGTCATTCATAATTGTTGTCTTCAACGGAATCTTATACTGGTGCTTGTTGAATGTTTCATGCATGTTGCATTTGGTAGGCGGACTGAAGGATATACAGGGATGAATTCATCAGTTTTTCCCATTATTCCTTCTGATTGCATTTTGTTGCTGTGGTTTTTCTTGTAGACTTCGTTCAACTGGTCTTCTGCAATTATCAGAGGCAAGAAGGGTTTTCTTTATAGTTTGTTGTCATGGTTTCGAGGTCTTATTCTAATCTCTTGGACCTTGCTTCGGGTGATTCCCTAACTTTTGGTCGAGAGAGAAAGAGGTTTCCTCGAGTGGCTACTGTACCTGGGCTCTTGTCTGAGGTAGATGATGATAACTGCAACAGTGTTGGCTCTGATGCTCCTTCTTCTGTTTCTCAAGAACGGATGATTATAGTGGGAAACCAGCTTCCACTTCGAGCACACAGAAATGCAGAAGGAGAGTGGTGCTTTAACTGGGATGAAGATTCACTTCTTTTGCAACTCAAAGACGGGCTTGGAGAAGATGTAGAAGTAATCTATGTAGGTTGTCTTAAAGAGGAGGTTGCTCCTAACAAACAAGATGACGTAGCCCAAACATTGCTTGAAACTTTCAAATGTGTCCCTGCATTCCTCCCTCCTGAGCTTTTTACTAAGTTCTATCATGGATTCTGTAAACAACATCTGTGGCCTTTATTTCACTACATGCTTCCTCTATCACCAGATCTTGGTGGTCGGTTTGACCGCACCCTATGGCAAGCTTATGTTTCTGTGAACAAGATTTTTGCTGACAAAGTGATGGAAGTGATAAGCCCTGATGATGATTATGTCTGGGTTCATGACTATCATTTGATGGTTTTACCGACATTTTTGAGGAAGAGGTTTAATAGGGTGAAGCTTGGATTCTTCCTCCATAGCCCATTTCCATCATCTGAAATATATAGGACACTTCCTGTAAGAGATGAGCTTCTAAGAGCGCTACTCAACTCTGACCTCATTGGCTTTCATACTTTTGATTACGCCAGGCACTTCCTCTCGTGTTGTAGCAGAATGCTTGGTCTTTCTTATCAATCAAAGCGTGGCTACATAGGGCTTGAATATTATGGTCGCACTGTGAGCATCAAAATCCTTCCGGTTGGGATTCATATAGGACAGCTCCAATCTGTGCTGAATCTTCCTGAGACTGTTGCTAAGGTGGCTGAGTTACGCAACCGATTTAGGGGTCAAACTGTTATGCTTGGGGTCGATGACATGGACATCTTTAAGGGAATCAGTCTGAAGCTTTTGGCCATGGAACAATTGCTCATGCAACGTCCTGAAAATACAGGTGAAGTTGTTTTGGTTCAAATTGCGAATCCTGCAAGAGGCCGAGGAAGAGATGTACAGGAGGTCCAGTCTGAAACTTATGCCACAGTGAAGAGGATTAATAATATGTTTGGAAGACCAGGATATGATCCAGTGGTTTTGATTGACACCCCTCTCCAGTTTTATGAACGAATTGCTTATTATGTTATTGCTGAGTGTTGTCTGGTTACAGCAGTGAGGGATGGGATGAATCTTATACCATACGAGTATATTATATGCCGACAAGGAAATGAAAAGCTAGATGAGACCCTAGGGCTAAATTCATCGGTATCAAAAAAGAGCATGCTGGTTGTTTCTGAATTTATTGGATGCTCACCATCTCTGAGTGGGGCAATTCGAGTAAATCCATGGAACATTGATGCTGTGGCTGAAGCTATGGATTCTGCACTAATTGTCTCCGAGGCAGAAAAGCAATTGCGGCATGAGAAGCACAACAGATATGTTAGTACACATGATGTGGCATATTGGGCACGCAGCTTTTTGCAGGATCTTGAGAGGGCATGTGGGGATCATTTGAGGAGGAGGTGCTGGGGAATTGGTTTTGGTTTAGGGTTCCGGGTGATAGCTTTGGATCCAAATTTTAGGAAGCTTTCCATTGAGCATATTGTTTCAGCTTACAAGAGAACCAAGAACCGAGTAATTCTTTTGGATTATGATGGCACCTTGATGCCAACTGGTTCATTGAGTACTACTCCCAATATAGATGCTGTTGGAATCTTGAACAATCTGTGCAGAGATCCCAAGAATGTTGTTTTCCTTGTTAGTGGAAAAGATAGAAAGACTCTAACTGAATGGTTTTCCTGTTGTGAAAAGCTTGGGATTGCAGCAGAGCATGGTTATTTTATCAGGTGTGTTTTCTTTTCTATATCTGAACTTTGATCTTGTCATCCATGCTTCAAATTGCCAACATGATTTTGTAAATACCTACATGTTAAAGTAAAATGAGGAGAGAGAAGGGGGGGGGGGGTTTAACGAAGGTATCAATTGGCAATTAGCTTTTTACAATTTTTTTGGGTAAATTAAATATTTCTTGTTCAATTTGGAATGCCAACTTAATCAAAATGTAATATTGTCCTCTATTCCTCAAGAAGTTGCAAGGGAAAGGCAGGCTTTTTAGTAGATGTAGTCCCCACCAGCCCCTGCCTAGTTCATTTTTGCTTGTTAATTATAGTCGTATCGGTTTTCTTTCCAGAAATCACTGTTAATCTAGTTACCTTGTGGGCTGCCTTGTAAGGAATTAAAACCATGCTACATTTCTCAGAGCTGACAATTTTGCCATTGCTAATATAGAAATAGATTTGGTTTGTGCTTGTTGCCAAATAGCTTTAACTAAAAAATCTAGTCTTAACTATTTCACTGGTAAATACTAAATAGAATGTAATTGAGGGTTCTTTTGGTTTTGCTTAATGAACAAACGCTTATAGTTTGATTTAAAAGGACAAAAACTAGTATCACTTGACGGGCCTCAGGTGCAATTTTTTGCCTGTATCTATGGAGAAAAAAGAATGCTTAGAGGATCTAATTGTTGTTAACTTATCCTTCTATAATTTTTTTTTCCCAGGCCAAATCATGATGCAGATTGGGAAACTTGTGCCTCTGTGCCAGACTTTGATTGGAAGCAGATTGCTGAGCCTGTGATGAAACTGTACACTGAAACAACAGATGGTTCTGCCATTGAGACCAAAGAGAGTGCTCTTGTGTGGAATTACCTGTATGCTGATCCTGATTTTGGATTTTGCCAGGCTAAGGAGCTTTTAGATCACCTGGAAAGTGTGCTTGCTAATGAGCCAGTGTCAGTTAAGAGTGGTCAGCACATTGTAGAAGTTAAACCTCAGGTTAGTACCACATGTTCATTGGGATACCAGTCTCTATCATTATTCTTACGACTTCATATTACATGAATTACCTCATTGCATGAGTTAACACTGCAAGGCAGGGTTCTTCAAGTTAGTGAAAAATTGAAGAAAACGGATTTTTATTTCCTGTTTGTTCTTTGGTATAATTATATTTATTTACACAACCAAGGTGAGACTTTTTCCAACCATGTAAATTACTTAAACAGGTATAGAAAGGAAAAAAAAAATCTGATTATTATCTTTTTTCCCCTACAATTATCTTAAAATCTCAGAATAACTTGAGTTAGACATTGCTTTGAATGTCAAAATGCAATGTCAAAATCATATAAAACTTCATTCATTGGCCCTAGTAAGTCAGCCTCAAAACTTTTATTACCTTCTTGAACCACACGGAATATGTGCAAACTGCCTATTCACATATTGCCTACACATAGGGGTTGTCAGCTGAAGAGAGGGACCTGTCCTCCAATTTCTAATTGCCTTGTTCTTTTAATTTTGCAGGGTGTGAACAAGGGTCTTGTTGCTGAACATCTTCTCATGACAATGCAACAAAAAGGAAAGCTTCCAGATTTTGTTCTTTGTATTGGGGATGACCGTTCAGATGAGGACATGTTTGAGGTGATCATGCGTGCCAGGACTGGTCCCTCTCTCTCCCCAGTTGCTGAGGTTTTTGCTTGCACTGTTGGGCAGAAACCTAGCAAGGCCAAATACTATGTGGAAGACAGAACTGAGATTTTGAGAATGTTGCAGTGTCTAGCCAATGCTTCTGAACAGGCTACAAAGACTGCTCCCCAGCCTTCTCACTGAATAATTATTGACAAAGAATGATCGGCTTCAGTCTCTTATCATCCTACATGAGTTCATATCAAAGTGTACATTGGAATTTTCAGTTAGATTCTCAAATCTTTGGGATAATAGGGTGTTCTGGTAAAAGCATGAGTTTTGAGCTTCTGTTCTTTGCCTATCTGTCAAACAAATGGAGAGTTTTGTCTAAATACTTGTTGCATTGTGCTTGTAGATTCTATTATGAGTAGATAAATTCTTCTCGTGTTTTTTTTTTTCCCTCTGAAACTGAAAAAACAGATGGGCCGATGATTTGATTGGGGGTTTATAGATAATCAGATGCGTTTGGACTTTGGCAATGAGTACAGTGAATGACCTGGTTGGGATAACCATGGACACAGCTCTGACACTGGGTCAGCTTCCTATGGCCCTGGCCCTTAGTCTGAACTTTATCCATCGTTGGGTCCAACGGACATGGATGTAGATCCACTAAGAAAGATCATAACTGGGTTTGAATTTGATTGCTGCGACTATCGCCTTGCCCATGGTAAGATCTCAGCTGTCCTTAGCTTTGATTGAATTAACCCTCTTTGCTTGTGTCTTGATTTGTCGCTGTTTTGTAGCAGAAGAAATTAAATATGGAAATATCCAATGAAAGTATGAAGTGTGAATCGTCTTCGTCCTGCTTAGCCAGAAGGGGATAACCATTTGCTTGTCATTTGTCAATTCAAATTGTCATGGGACCTCCTTACCAACGTGGATGAGCTGCCAGAATGAATGAAAAAGCTCCCATTATTTTCGTGAATTTCTCTGGCAACACACTGCTCTTTAATTAGACATGAAAAATATAGATCGATGTCATTGACGACATTAATTGATAGCATGAACCATCAACTGCCCTAGTTGACAAAATTATGGCTGAAATTAAATCCTAAACAGCACCCATTGGCTGCATGCTTCTTCCATTTTAATGCATACTATTTCATGAAAAATAGTTTTTAAATAACTTAAAATTTAATTTAATTATTTCATATAATTACTCTAAAAAATTACATCAAGCAAATAATTTACTCAACCTTAAGGCATCGGTCCGTTTTTAATTTATATGAACCAATAATAATCGCATTATAAAGTTTTTGGTACAAATTGATCAATCATATATTATTGGTTTTTTCTTTTTTCTTTTTTTTTTTAGTATGGTATTGTTACTAAGTTAGGGTGTATAAATATTTTTACAAAGTCGTTTAAGCTTTTCTTTTTTTTGGACTTTGTAACCAAGGTTGCAATCAATTAATGGGTACCATTAAATTAATGTAACTTTCTTCCTAAGGACAATGCGACCATAGAACTTAAAATTTGTAATTTCCTAAAAATTTATAAGCTACTTATTTTCTTTACTCTCCTCTTATTTTCGTTTGGAGTTTTAATTCCCCTAAAGAAAACTATAGGATGATGCTACGTTTCATGGTCGAAATATAGCCAAAGGTCCAACCCAGCCGTACTCACATTTCCTCTCTTGGCCTCACTCGATTCTCACATAATTGTTGTGAAAACCAGATTGAAATAAATGAAAACAAATGCGTTTTTGTCCTAGTTAGGTAGATGTCCACATCAAAGTGGTCGATTAGTGATCATAATTAAAGGAAACCTGGCCGAAGTCTTTATTATTGTTACTTTGAGAAGCCTGCGAGAGCATACGCTAAAGGTCCACAACGGAAGAAAAATCGAAACATATATAATATTATTCAATCTAGCTACCTACGAGTAGAGATATATTCGAGTACATTTGAATTGATATAATAAAAAATTTAAATTTAAATTTGGTTCAAAATTTGTTATTTTAAATTTGATTCGAATTTGATTGAATTTTAAATTTTATATTCAAATTTAACTTAAAATAAAAATTAAACTACTCAAATTTATTTAATTAAATTTATTTATCAAATAAAAAAATAAATTTAATTCTCATATTTGATTTCAAACTAAATTATTTGTATTTAAACTTAAATTCAAATTTATATATATGTAAGAGGCTAAAATAATAATTTTTTAATTACAATAATAAAAATATGTATTAAAATATAAAAATTTAATTAAACTCACAAACTATTTAAATCGAATATTAAATAATTCGAATTTGACTAACTTAATAAGTTGAATTATTTAAATTCGAGCTCAACTTATTAATAATAAAATTAAATTTAAATTTTATTAAAATCGAACTGAATAATTTACAAATACTAATAAATCTTTTATATCTCTACCTTTAAGCAGCCTGCAGGGATCATAGCATATAATTCTCTCAAAATCTTACCGCGAGTAACATAATTCCCACAAGCTTTATCATGGTTGATAAATTCAAAGCTTTGCCGCAAAAGTTTTCATTGTATAACGATTGATACGGCTAGTTTTGTTCAAATTTCGAGCCCTGTCTATTTCTTCTGACAAATTAATCAAACACATGCATGTCTTGTATGTTATACTTAAACCGATGAAAATTTTTTCTTAAATTTCCTTTTTCTGGTTCTTTGGGTATCATTGTAGGGTCCAAGCCTGTAAGGGTTTGATCATGCAAAAGGTTTTCCTTTTGTTTTCGATTATTGTCGGAACTTCATGCTTCGTGCTCGTACTTACAATTCCTCAAGATATAAGCAACGTTTGAAGATCAAGATCAAGTCTACTTAAGCAAAAATTGTTCAAATCTTATCCCAACAGCTCAATGTCAAAGCGTAGCACATAATGATCATTTAGCAGCCCGCCACAATAAAAGAAGTTGTCATTTTGTTTGCGGCTTTTTATCTAACATCTCAAGTCAAGCATTTCATTCAATGCCCCATTTGTAAACGACAAAGCCAAATGTACATGGGTATATCATTTATAATTTTTTATTATAATTTTATAATTATTTAATGTCAAGGTTCATTATTTATAAAAATAAATTCTATATAATAATTTTAATTGACTTCACATAATTTTAAATTATGATTAGTTAATTATATTACAATGATTATAAGTAAAATACTCTTCAAATGTAGTGCTCATTATTAGTATAATTTTTAGTTACTACCAAATATCCTCCATTGCAAGTGTCTCAATTATAAATATATACATGAGGAAATTTGAATATTAAATTTGTTAAATATTATCTCTTAAAAATAATTGAATAAAACATAATTATCTTAAAAACAATTTTTTTTGAAATATGATTGAGGTATTTTTAAGTTTTGTTTGGATTTTTTAAAATTATTTTAAAGTCACATCTTTTTTTCATATGAGTAAAATTCTTATACTTTATTTTATTTTTTAAATATCTCTTACAAAAATTAATCCGAAATTTTTTTTTTTATCATTCAAGAGGAGCGGAGCCCTCAACATTAATGAGAGGAGGAAAGCTGTCTTGATCATTAAACTAAACAGCCGAAGAAAAAATTAATCCAAATTCAAAAAATGAAAAGAACTACTCGCTAACCAACTAGCCCCTGTGGGTCTTATCTTGATTAAGTACGTAAATCCTCATTATCATCCCACAGTTTACTCCTGTTTCGTTGTCTTAAGGCAACCAAGGTACGGCACTGAATCATACTAAAAGCCAACCCCCATAGATTCAACTAACTCCAAATGCTGAATTTATTTCAGAGAGAGAATATAGATGGAAAGAGACTTGACTGACTTGCTAGTTACCCATCAAAATATTAAAAAAAAAAAAAAGTAAAAATAAAACCATCTCCAATATGTTAGTTCTCATGAGAATTAACCCTAGTCCTCTTTGGCTAGCAACAACTTGCTTTTGTATTTTTTCACCATTACTTCAACTGTCACACAATAATGGCATCACTTAGCCAATTTTTACAGCTTAGTTTAAGATTGCAATAAGAGGTCCCATCTACTTCACATCCCCTCTAACCTAATTCCCACATCTATCCTGTTTTTCTTCTTCTTCTTCTTCTTCACTTCCCTTTCTATATTTCATTCAATATTGTCTGCAACTTCTGCATTACTCCTTTTTTTTTTGTTAGTCAAGACATAAACTTTGTATTAATATACTTTCCTTGGTCTCGTTTTTTTCTTGGCTGTGCTTCAGGCCAAAATGACACCTACGGGTTCATTATCCGGTAAACAAGTCGAAGATAGTGATGATACAAAGAAGAAGAAAGAAGGAAAGAAGCAACACAAAGTTCCATTGTTGAAGCTGTTTTCATTTGCTGATTTTTACGACTATGTGCTCATGGGGTTGGGTTCCATTGGTGCATGCGTGCATGGTGCTTCTGTGCCTGTTTTCTTCGTTTTCTTTGGGAAATTGATAAACGTTATAGGAATGGCTTATCTCTTCCCCAAAGAAGCTTCTCACAAAGTTGCAAAGGTATGGATCACTTTTGTCTTCCGAAATTTTGGATAAAAGGGTTATTTTTTGTTTGATCAAATCACTTTGGTTATTTGATTTTTTTAAGTCAATATATAACAGACAAACTAAATCTCTTTCTTGCATTCTTCTTTGCAGTACTCGTTGGATTTTGTATATCTCAGTGTGGCAATTTTATTTTCCTCGTGGGTAGGTAAGTAACAATTAAAGTCTGCCTGACAAGATCAGCTTCCTTCATTAATTAATTAATCAAAATTTAATTTTTGATTAGAAATTTGATGATAACTTGAATATGAATTTTAGAGGTGGCTTGTTGGATGCATACTGGAGAGCGACAAGCTGCAAAAATGAGGATGGCATATCTAAAGTCTATGCTAAATCAGGATATAAGTTTATTTGACACCGAAGCTTCAACTGGACAAGTCATATCTGCAATTACAAGTGACATTATTGTTGTTCAAGATGCCCTTTCTGAGAAGGTAAATTTAGTTTTGTCCCTTTTAATTAATATTACTATATTATCAAGACAGCAAAACGATAAAACTAATGATAATTTAAAAAGCTACTAGTTTAAATAAAATCAGGGAAATTATGTAACAGCAAGCACGATTAAATTAAACTTGTGATGTAAAAAAAATCGAAGTATAAGGCTGAGCCGACTTCCAAGAGAATTACTAGAATCTGACGCAGCTGTTTTGGGTCTGCAGTTTTACTTAAAAGTAGCAAATAAATGAAATGAAAGTGGTTGTAAATCAATGAATTTGGCCAGCAAAGGACTTTACTAGCATTTATAAGTCGGTTGGTTGTTTGGTGTTTATCTGCTTATGGGTTTTTATGTATATCTAGCCCAGATCTTTTGCCAACTGGTTCATAGCAAACAATATAATTACTAGGGATTTTCTTTTTCTTATTATTATTATTTTTTTGCAAGTTTAAAATGTCTAAAATCCAATGTTTTACGGTAGTGTATAATAGCCAATTTGGATAGCCTGATGACTTTTGAGAAGCGACAGACAGTTCGAAGCTCTAAAACTAGGGTTGACAAATAGGAAAATATATGTTTTGGCTTTACTGCATGACTCCAATGAAGCCTGTCTGGACAGTAGCTTCTCCGTCAGGTTGTAATACTAATGGTCAAGGACAGTGACGATTGTTGCTTGTATCTCATCCTGAGGATTTAGATCGTAACAATATCGCATAAGATGAATTTTATAAATATATAAGATAACAGATATTAAATTAAATTAAAATTTTTAATAATTTCTAAAATAATACTTTATAGAATCTCAAATCTATAAAATTGTATTATTTACAAGTTAGTAGAATATATTACAATTTTTATTAACAAATCTTTTAAAATTAATAAGAAAATACTTACTTTGAAAGTAATACCAAACTAAAAACAGAGATTAATCTTATTAATCCAAATAGTTATCAAGATTAAGTCTCTTAAGACACAAACACCGAAATCTAAAAAAGTAAAAAAAAATAAAAGAATGAGTGCAACGACTAAATAAGTAACTGACATCTCCTTTGTTGGATTAAGTATGTCACAAAACATTTAGACCAAAACATTAACTAAATAATTAAAAATTTTTTGGATAATATTGTATTCACAAATATATTCTCAAAATCAGATTCTCATATCACAAAACATAATTAAATAACACAAAATTATAAATTTTATTAATCTC